CCCTCCCCCTCTCCCTCCTTCCGAACTTTCTCGCTCTCTTTCTTGAAGAAGGCACCACTGGTTTCGGGCCAGACGAAACTCTTCTTCTCTTGGAGCTCCGGGGCGTAGCTCGCCCGGGAAAAATCTCCAGTCAGGTCTCCAGCTAACAAATTCGTTGCTCTCACTCTCTAGGAGTTGTATGTACTTGTCAGAGTATCGCCGAATCCCCTGTTTTTCCGGACCGGCCTTCAGAGCAAATGGACTCTGTTGCATGTACAGTCGTAGGTTCTCCTTCAGAGCTAGCAGTTCGGTGTCGGTCGGCAACTTGCGCAGCTCGAGGGGCCGTTTTTCCATCGGTGGAAACAGTGGGGGAGGGGTTAAAATTGGCGGAGGAGGGGGTTCTCCGGGCAGGAGGGCTCTAGCCCCGCAAACGGCTTACCTCGCCCTCTCCCTCTTTCCCCTTCCACTGACTCATCTTCTCTTTACTGACACCACATATACGTAATAAGTAATCACATATATGTACCACATGTACGGTTATCACAATGTATATTATACTATTTATGACTGGGCAACTACTTTACAGTATACAGAGCTGATCGACTTACTCTATCGACTGCAGGTTCACGCACGAGCAGATCCTTTCTTGTGGTGGAGAGTCTGAGTAGTGCTTAACTTAGCCTTAGTACACGCGCACGCGCAGAAATAAAAAGGTGGGTAGGGCTTAGGTCCTCCAAATAGTGCGCACCCGGTAGCTTGCAGAGCCAGATGTGATGGAGACTGGTTCATCCAGGCAGAGATCGAGTGGAAGGTCTGTAAAGAAAGAGCGCGGCGACAGATCAAGATCCAGGAGTTCCTCCTGCGATTCGGACGCTCCAAGCACTAAGAAGAGAAAGAAATCGAGCACCAAGCACAAGAAAGTTCGAAGCGGCAGCGAATCTCGCTCCTCATCTCGCAAGAAAAAAAATGCGTCAGAAAGACACAAAACGAAAAAACGCGAATCCATGTCGAAGTTTTCGGACGAAAAAAAGAGTAGAAGGTCTCCTAGCAGTAGTGATGATAGTGAAAGCGACGATAGTGGTTCCAGCGGGGTCGGCTCTACTGACTCCGAGGAAGAGAAGAGGCTAAAGCGGAAGAGGAAGCGACGAGCAGAGAAGGATGCGAAGAAGAAGAAAAAGAAGTCGGGGAAAAGTGCAGAGACGGGCTTGAAACAAGTTGTAACTGCTTCAGCATCAACACCTATTGGCAGCAAAACTGTTGGACCGACAGCAGGTAGATATATCAAATGACTTTTTACTTGTTTGAAGTTTTCTATTCCTTCCATCTTATTATTGGCAAGATGTAAAAGGAACAGAAGGCAAGTAAGCAATCAAACCACCAGTGTATGGTTTTTAAAAGCCATGACTAACAATTATAATAGGCAGCAACGTGGGCCAATGACAAAGGAAGAGTGGGAAAGACAACAAAGTATTGTTAGAAGAGTTTACGATCCTGATACTGGCAGACACAGGTGAATATAGCGGTCAAAATTTATTTACCTGTACTTTGAATGTGTTGGTGTAGGTTAGTGAAGGGAGATGGCGAGATTATAGAGGAAATAGTCAGTAAAGAGAGACAAAAGGCCATCAATAACGGTAGGTAAAGATTTATACTTGAGTGTATCTTGTAGTCTTTTCCCTGACATTCATGCAGCAAGCAACCGTTGGAGATGGAACGTCATTCGCAACAAGGTCTTAGAAAACTCTTATAAAACGTTCTTGACTAAATGGATTACGTAATGTTACATACCGATCACTCGAATTGAAGCGCACTCTGAGCGAAATTATGAGAGGAGTTGGGATCGCTAAACTCGCCGAGTAGGTGCCTTCTGCAGGCTCCATGGCGTTCAGGGGAGGTGTAAGCAAAGGCTATAGTGGGAGGCTCCAAGATGCACATCCCTAAGAAGAAAGCGACCGTGTCGTACGTCATTCGTGACGAGGAGGAACCGTTGAACCGCTCGGGAGTGAACGCCCTGAGGGTAGACCCGCAGGCTCGCCGGCTCTACAGCGCCGGCCGAGACTCCATCATAAGATGCTGGGATATCAGTTCGCACGATGGATATGTATGTATATGTATATAGTGGTAGGTCAACCTTTCCGTGCAGGGCAGTGTAGCATTCAGTTGTGTGTTGATGATCAGCTGAAGTATGTATGTCCGCTTTCGGATTAACCTGTAGAACACTCCCTCTTTTGTCTCTCCTTATTCACATGTGGTGTATATTGAATCTCACTCTCCCCTTGCTCTCTTTCTCCTCAGAGATATGTTAGGTCACTGGAGCACCACACCGACTGGGTCAACGATATTGTACTCTGCATGGATGGCAGCTACAGTATGTTCCACGAGCTATCACATCAATTAAACTGGGTCTCTTTGGGAAAGGGGGGTAGTCGCGAGGTACAAAGTTTGCCTTCCTCAAACCTTCCAAAGAGTTTTTAAATTGCCCCAGTGAATTACTGGATATGTGCTTATGACATCTCGAAACAGACACTTGAGCTGTATGTGGAAAATATTTGTCTTTCTCTCCCTCCCACACTCCTTCCCCTCACCTCCTCCCTCCCCCCTCCCTCCCTCCCTCCAGTAATGTCCGCAGCCTCAGACATAACACTGAAGCTGTGGGACTCACGTCGCGGTGCCTGTACCTCGACCCTTCGTCAGCAACAGGACTACATCAGGTGTCTGGCGTACTCGAGACATAGAGAGCAGGTGGCTAGTGGTAGTCTGGACCATTCCATCTACCTCTGGGACCTCAAGACTCTTACTTCACTCACCTCCACCAACAACAAAGTCACCAGTGAGTGGTACACAATAACATGGTGCTGCCCATGAAAGACCCAGGGTCATGCACATGTACAGTGTATACTGGAAATAGTTATAGGTGCATGTTTTTAGGTTTACTGTAATGTGTAACAGTTAATTCACCCTTTTTCATGTGAAGTTGTGGTTTACTACTGTTATAGTGTACACATCAGCTCCAGTCCATTCTCACACACTGTTACAGCCACATCCCTGAGAGGTCAAAAGGACTCGGTCTACTCTCTGGCAATGAATGAGGCAGGAACTGTGCTGGTAGCTGGTGGCACTGACAAGGTGAGGGGGCTAGACTAAGACTGTACATGTAGTACTGTGACTTGTGGTCAAATGCATGTACACATACAATGTAACGCTTCTTGTCCTTACAAGTACATTACGTACAGTGAGCATGGATGCATGCATGCACTAAGTATTATTAACCCTCGGCGCGCATGCGCAGCGAGGGTTACGGTAGTTGTTTCGTAAGTGTGTCAGTCTGTCATTCTGTCTGTTACCACGTTTTCTGCCACCGCGCGCACGAAATCAGGTAAATAGCGATATGATCGGGTTCAGTGCTACACTGGGTTGATTTTAAAAAAGGCGATTTTCGTAAAACTACTGCGTTCTAAAGTTATGGCGTGAAAACCAAGTGAACAAGCCAATATGGTAATTAGCACAGGCTTACCTCGACTGCCGTCCGCGCGCTCTGTGTATCTGAAGGCACAAGAAGTCACAACGAAGGGCATGTGTCGACTCCCGCATGCAATCTACTACTGTAGCTAGCCCGTGCCAGACTCTCCGCGAGCTACTAGCGCGATACAACGAGAAAATAGAAAATGGAGTCAAACAATCGAAAGAAAAGGACGTAAAAAGCCCAGCCCATCAATTAGTGGTACCGCGCATGCGCAGTTCGCCGAGGGTTTGCACTTTAGTGCTTTTCATTAGTATAAGTGTCATGGAAGAAAGGTTGCCCAACAGATGGAAAGAATCTGGAGAAATGTTAGTCTTTTCTTTCCATGTTTTACCCAGGAAAAAACTTTTGCTATTCTACATGCATAAAATGGAAAAATCTTTTGCTGTTCATTAGCAAATGCTTCTTACAAATAAATCTCCCCACTCAGGATTTTGTGTGAGACTGGTTTTTGCGAAAGTTTCCTTTGAAATTAAGCTACTGTTTTCAAGCTATTCTGCATGTGTGTGTGTGTGTGTGTGTCTCTATAGGTTCTCCAAGTGTGGGACCCCAGAACAGATGAGAAGATGATGCGACTCAAAGGCCACACTGACAACGTCAGAGCTCTTCTCCTTAGCCCCGATGGCACCACAGTCAGTTCTCTAGCCTCCTACTCCACCTGTTTCTTGCTTGAGTTGCCGATTTCCATGCTGCAAACCACACTCTAAGTATATACACCTCTGAAATGAGGACACCTCTCCATTGTGACACAGTCATTATTTCCCCCAAAGAATGGTTCAATAAAACCCTTTGAATATGGACACCTCACTAATGTGGACACCTTGGTGGCTGTATTGGAAGGGTTCCACTGTACATATGTACCTCTTTGCTTTCGTCTTCTCTGGAATAGAATGTAGTCAATCCACTGCAGGGTTTTGCAAAATTTCCCTGGCCTGTGTGATACTTGCCTTCCCTGGTGTCAATATGATTTGCAAGGCTGGGTTTCTATTATGTATAGCACACTATGTAGCTGGTAATTTTCAGGTCTTGTTCTATCGTCTCATTAGAACATCAGTGTAACCTCTGCAGGGCGTAAAACACCAAAAAAAGTACGAACAAACCCAATGAATTATGTGCAATGTGAGGTTTCAGTGATGGGAACGTACATAACTCTAACATGACTGTGAGGTTATCCATATCCAACCCTCAATCCCAACGTGACAGTGTGTATCAGGTAGTTCAGACGGGACAGTGCGACTGTGGTCCCTGGGCCAGCAGAGGTGCATCGAGACATTCAGGATGCACGAGGAGGGAGTGTGGGCTCTGGCCGCCGACGAGGTGTTTCAGACTGTCTACTCCGGAGGCCGGGACAAGAAGGTGTACGCCATTGAGCTGAACCAAGGTATATACACACTATGGGGTTTATGGGGTTTACTATAGAGCACTCTGGTAGGTAGTGATGGCAGGGCACTCTGCCTAGAGAGTAGTCTTGTCGGTCGATGGAGTCCCACCTCTCATGTTGTTGTCTCATAGTGACTGTTCGCACCCCATGGACAGATGTGTGTACTAGTAATGAAGAGTCCGTCTGTTACGTATGTATGTACATGTACGTAGTTCTGTAGTGATGGCAGGGCACTCTGCCTAGAAAGTAGTCTTGTGGGTCAATCGAGTCCCACCTCTCATGGTCGAGTGTGTTCCCATGGGTGTTGTCTCATAGTGACTGTTCATACCCCATGGAGAGATGTATGTGCACTAGTGTCCTGGACCAATGACTGTTACGTATGTACGTAGTTCTGTAGCTTGACCAACATTGGAGCTACATAGGTAAATCTCTGCTGTGGTTAATTTTGACACATACAGTGTACAAGTCTTCCCTGCTCTCTTTACCTGAAGTAGTGTCTCATATATAACTTTGTATGATGATGTAATTTTTGTACAGGTGTGGACGGGAGTATGCTGTTTGTTGCCGATGCACCGGTGCTGTGTTTGACCCCTGACCTCTGTGACCCGCAAGAGTCTCTCTGGGTTGCCACCACCGAGTCCTCCATCTCCAAATGGGTTCGTTTCTACTCATGCCAACCAACAACGAGGCAAAGACAGAGCAAAAAAGTCAACTACATATATACCCAGGGTAACTCTTTTTCCAAGGAAAAAAGAAGAGCTGCCCTGGTTTGGTTCGAACCTACGACAGCACACATACTGTACATATTCACCTCTTCTTCTTCTATGCATCTCAGCTGCCCTGGTAGCTCAGTGGGCAGAGGTAGACAAAATAGCTCTCTACAACATGTATGTAGTACACCTTGTATGTAGGTATTGATAGGGGAGCGAAACAAACCTACCGAATTGCATGCTTTGTTTGTGACTGGCACTGCACATATCTCACGTGTTTCTAAACTGCAATTGAACACTCGGATACCCTTGCCCATGCCATAGAATAAGGACCAACTACTTTTCATAACACAGCTGTTGGCACCTTCTTCCTTTCTGTGTCTGTGTGCATGCGTGTGCATGTCTCACTCTAGACATTTGATCCTGAGGCTTGTGACGATGAGGAGGAGGAGGAAGAGGCTGGGGAAGAGGGAGAGGTGAGAGTGGGTGAGAGAGGAGGGGAGGAGAGGGAGGTGGAGAAGGAGGGAGAAGAAGGGGAAGAAGAGGAGAGTGTGGAAGTAACCGACATTGATGAGTACGCCCCGTCCTGTCTCATGAAGAGAACTGTACTCATTCCAGGTGTGTTAACCCACGCTTCGACTATCACTAGTACTTAATGTATTTAAGGAGATCCCCATGGCGTCCAAAGGGTTATATAGGGATGACAGGGGTTATCCTGCAGTATGCCCAGATTTTTACGTTACACTTTTTCTTAGGCATATTTGGGCTGCATTGAACTAATTTGTTCCATGAACATGTTCCACCATTATATAGCTGAACGCACCACCGTTAAGGTGCTCCTGTGATGCAATGCAACACAGAGCAATGTCTTGCTTCAGTATTGTCAACTGTAGGCTTGTTATGTATATAGTACGTATGTATAGATGTTCATACTGTGTGCCAATAGTGGATCAGGCTTCTTAGTATGATATGTACGGTGTATACATCTTGGCCGTGTACAGGAGGTCCCAGTATCAGAGAGTACCGGATTCTAGAGGACAGACAGCATGTCCTGACCAGAGACTCCAACGGTCACGTCCAGCTCTGGGACATCCTCCATGTAAGTCTACACCACCGGTCGGAAGCACTGAAAAAGATGTGTAATTCATTCACAAACCGCAATTTGGAAAACTCTTGCGGATTGCTTTTTTCTGCCGTGCAAATGGCATTGTATATACACACACCCACAATATTTTTTCCTCATGTATCAACACACGTCCACGTATAATGTACTAGACTGAACAAATCGGGCTTTCACAAGAAGCGGCAACGCGGCCATGAGGAACATTTCGTGAATCTAGACTAACCCACTCCCTCCCTCCCACTCTCCCTGCAGGCGGTAAAGGCTGCAGGTCTTGGTGAAGTTGACTTGGAGGAAGAGGTGTCCAGGAGAAAGTCTCCGCTCTACATTCCCAACTGGTTCTCTGTCGAGATCAAGACTGGAGTGAGTTCCAACTCAACATTGTACTCCTCTACTACAGAAGAGGCTCACATGTACTATATAGTAAAGAAACTTTCGAGGAAGCTAAATTTTGTGGTTTGACGAAAAAGAATTGTGCAGAGTAATAAAGCTGTCCCAGTCAGTGTACCAAGTTTTGTAAATGAACATTTTGAGCTTCGAAACTGCGAACAGTTCGCTATTTTTTTCAAGAGTTAGAGATTTTAGAACATTGTAACTGGTTTCTATTGGTCAGATGCTGAACATCCGGCTGTCAGAGAGTGACTGTTTCTCGGCCTGGGTCATGGGAGCTAATGTCAAACTCGACACTGCCACCCCAGACCTCAAATGTAAAAGAATTAACTCTGTTATTTTCTTACTGCTTAACTCACGAGATAGGGACGACCTCTCTACAAGGGACAAAATTGTTTTCGCCCCATAGTGTCCCTTGTCCAGAGGTTCCACTGTAGTACGTATATCTGTCCCTAATATTGGCATTTAAAGCATAGGGTTTTCTTATCCAGTAACATACATGTGTCCATGTGGTAATTTTTGCTAAAGAAGCACCATACCATGTACCATACTGTGCCAAATAGTTTTGCAGTGTCTGTGTCTTAGTATGCGCAAGCAACTAAAAGGGTTGTTCCATTTAAACTGGTTACTTAGATATAGCACCTTGTGTGGAAGTTTTCAAAGTGTTAGTACGTTCAAATATTTGTTACTCTATTTCTGACTGCAGTAAATCTTGGAGCGACTGCAGTTGAGAGCTCTGTTTGAGCACTGGCCCAGCGCCCGGCCCATGGTTGCTGCACCTGACACCCCCCGCCAGCAGGATGGGGAGGGGGAGGAGGGGAGGAGGGAGGGAAATGGGAAGAAGGAAGAAGATATTCCTATGGAGAATGGTAGGAAAATCAGTGAAGGATGAGTGCATTTTTGAGGCAAAGTGGGGCGTTAACTCTGCTTCTCACACTCAAATGTAATGTATCTATGTATGAGCTTATATCATGCCAACATACTAAGTGTGCTACTCTGTGATGACTTTTTGTGTACCAGAAAATGGGAAGGAGGGAGAGGGAGAGAGAGAGGACGGGAAGAGAGGAACAAGTGGTGGCAACGAGGGGGAGGGGGAAGGATTGTGAGGAAAAGATGGAGGTAGGGGAGGGAGAGGAGAGGAGGGAGGGAAGGGGGAAGAAGTGGGAGCCAAAGAAGAAAGTGAAAATGACGTCATTGAGGAGAAGAAAATAGAAAATGGAGTCAAACAATCGAAAGAAAAGGACGTAAAAAATAGTAAGGATTACTAAATCTATTTACACCACAAATGTAGAATGTTGTGTTAAACAATTCAATTTTGGTACAGAAAATGAGGGGTTACTTACTAATATGGAGCTGTCTCCAGCAAATATTCCCAATTACCCCCCTAGCAACACAGTTACGTGGACGGTCCCAACAACAGCAAACCTACTATTTGGGGGTCCAAATGTCCCCTGGGAAGCATATCATTCAGAGGGACAAATGAAAGTGAAAGGGGGACTTGTCTCCCATGATATGCTCTGGCACCAGCCCTGCTAATAGTTTTCATTCCGCCAAAGATTAACAGATCTCGTTTTTCACAGAGAATCTTCTTCCGCTGCCACCAAAACTGGAGCAGTTGATGAGCGAGTGCGAAGAGGTGGAGCAGTGGGTGGAGCTTGGCGCCACCCTCCGCATGACCCAGAGTGACCTGGACAGCATCGAGCACTCCCACGGGGAAGACCCTGCTCGTTGCAGGAGGGAACTCTTCAAGGTTCGGTGGCCATGTGCTATGAAAACTCTAAATAAGGGACACCTCGGGTACATCGAATGTGTCCTCAATTCTTATTCGGAAGAGGTATACGTATTATTGTGGTGCAGGACCATGTATATATATGTTTGCTGACCTGCCCGCCTATGTGTATACAGTATCTCTTCATTCATACAGCTGTGGCTGAAGCTGACGGAAGATGCCAGCTGGTTGTCACTAGCAACAGCTCTGGAGTCCACGGGTCACTCCAAACTGGCCGTGACAGTGAGGAACAAGTACCTCAGAACCCCGCCCACTTCGTCGTCCCAGACTCCGCCCCCTTCGTCATCCGAAACTCCGCCCCCCTCTCCTGCCACCCTTCCCCCTTCTACTACTACTAATACTACTGTAAATGGCACCAATACTGACAAAGTGGTGAGACACACACTACTGCACGTGCCGTGCTACATATGTGCACTTACCATAATCCTGTGTAACCAGGAGAGTTCAAAGTGTTAGAGTCAATGTAAAAATGTTTTATCATGAAATTTTACTGAGGTTGAGGTGGACAAGGGAACTTTCCCGTACAAAGAATGCCCAATTTAGGATGATTTTTGAAAGATTTCTTCTTTCAGTGGAACCTCTGAGACAGAGACGCGATTTTGTCCCTTGTATATAGAGAGGTCATCCCTATCTCGGAGGGCTTCTTATCGGAGGTTCCACTGTAATCACCTATGTACTAGCAGACCTGTAGTGGTCATTTTGCGCCAGTCTTTACTCGTTCTTTCACTCCTCGTTGATTTCTCCATTTCTCTCCCCCTCTCCCTCCCTCCCTCCATCAGAACATAAAGTTCTTCTCAGTACCGCCCCACACTCCAGTAATACTGGCCGAGTCAGGTGACTGTGCCACCACGCTCGTCAGACTACTGTGTAGGGATGCTGGCGGACACATTGAGACCAGACAGCTCAACAACTGCTGCCCCATATGGGTCATGGACACTGTCTGTCAGGTACTGTGCAATGTGTATGGCTCTTGAAGGCGAGAGAAGCTATATACTATTCAATGTATGACCTTTGAAGGCAAGAGATGCTAGACATGAGCGAACTATTCAGAATAGTAGAGAGCAGTATGCCCAATATAACTTTGCTGCAGCCTACAAGATATTACTCTTATAATCAGAGCACTTGGTGTGTTATGGCAGGTGAAGCTGGGGGATAATCAAATACTGCATGATTATATAGTCGTCCTGTTGGTGTATTGTGGGAGTGTGTGTGTGTTTGTGCAGGAGGAGTAACGGGAGAGTAGATTTACACATGCTGAGGAAACGTATTGCATATTCATTTGCAAACATTGTGCTGTCTCAGTGTTACAACTTATGCCTATGCGATGTTGCTCCTGTAGGTCTAATATAGAAATGCAGAGTCAATGCTATCAGTTCGAGTCTAATAATATTTTGTGTGTCAGTGTCAGCCATAATAATATTGTCCCACCTGCAGCTTTTCTTTCGAGTTGTTTACAGACCTGCTGATGTAGTGCAAACAGCTAACATAATAACTGTAACCAAACGTATAATTTTGCGGACTCGTTTTCACAAATCGTTTAGAGAGACCATTTTGGACAGTGGGACAAGCAAATTTAGTGTATATGCTGACTTTCATGAAAACCTTACCTACTGCGATTGTTATAGTGAGTTCAGCTGGTGTTGTTTTACTCACCACCACAACAGAGAAAGCTCCCAGACCATCCAAAGGTCAACTTCAGTGTCGGGAAGTATGTCTCGAGCAGTGGAACCAAGGACAAAAAGAACTCTAAAGGGTAACGTCTAACTTCATTATTTCTGAGGATTTCTTAGCTTTACTGCCCCCCTGCATGTCACACCTCTTGCCCCCCTCAATCCTTCTCTCCCCCTCTCCTTTTCACACACTCTCTCTCCATCTCTCCACCTCTCCACCCCTTCACCTTCTCTTCCAATTATTCTCTCCACACTAGAGTTGATCGTCTGTCGGCTCACGATGTCATAACTGTCAGAAAGTTGTTGGAATATGTGTACAGTAAGCTAGAGCCCAAGGCCGAGGCGGTGGAGGACGGTGCTGGTAATCACCTCTTTGAAATGCTCTGTCAAGATCAGGTACATACACAGCTTGTTTGCAAGCATCCTAAAATAGTGTGAATAGTGGATTGACGTATGAAAGCTTTGGGGACACAACAATTTTCTCAACAGATTTTCTGCAGCTCTCTATAAAGGGCACTTGGTGGTTCTACCCCATGTTTTTTCTTTTGTATTCCTCCTAGTAAGGGATGACACCTCTTCATTTCAATGCCCCAAGGTGTCCCTTTTCAGACCATACTTGTATTTCAGGGGTTTCAATGAATATCTGATGAACCGCTGATTTATATGTTTCAAGGTTCTCGATTTGGACCTTGATTTGAGGACAGTGAGATTCAAGTACTGGAAGTCGGGCGGAGACATGAGACTGTACTACAGAGAGGCACCGAGGAAGAAGGAGGCGTTGGAGGGGAAGGAGGGAGAGGGAGGTAGGGGGAACGGTGGGGAAGGAGGGGAACAAGACAGAAAAGGGGAGGAAAAGACGGACTCTAATGAAAGGGGTGATGGCTGATTGTCTAATATATAGCTCAAATGATTCCGTTTATATCTCTCTTTCTAATGTATATGTGTTTTACTGTGGTGAGATCCCAATTTAGTAACGTGAATCATTCAGCGCATGCGCATGACGTCATATTGAGGAATGCGCTATTATAAAACATGCTGATTTATTGGCCTAATGTTTCCCCCTCCCCCCTCGCGATCAAGACAAAAACAGTTGCTGTCAGCTGGAGTGTTGATCTATACCACTGGCCGTATTTTACTGGTAGAAGTGTGTGAAGAGATAGATACGTGTCCTCAACGCGGATAAACCGGCTTATGGCCGCGACGTGAGTTTGTAGTTATGTCTTGCCAGATTTCTTGTTCGTTCTTCGCTACTACTCTTCAGGGGGTCGATCGACCAAGGCTATTGTTTAGAGATGAACCATGATGCCTGGGCCATAATTGTTCAAGCTAAATGACTCATGATCATACGCCCAGCCCATACTAAAATGTCAATGGATGATCATTACGATGTGTCCTATCCGCAGCATATACAGTGCCAATGCTCCTTGTATGTACAGCAAAGACCGCATTTCTCTTGGACGCGAGACTAAAGACATGCGCTGTACTATTTTTCGCTCTAGGGTATATATTCTGTTTGAGTGTATAGCTAGGTCGGTAGCCCCACCTACTCTATGCTAATAGCCACGGGAAGACACCCCATACACTCGGATTTTTACTTGTCTTCGATCTGAAGAGCATTGGTGGGTAGGAACAAATTAATGCAGGATTTTTGTGGTCAGCAGCACCCAGCATACAGTGTAAACAGCAAAGAGAGCAAAGGCAAATAACACGACTACTAACGTCAGTGCACTGGACTCTAAAAGTTCCATGAAGTAATCTCTCTGTGTCACATGACACCCAAACAGCTGTGCATCCCGGCAGACGTCATTAGAGCACATACGTACCATTATACATGTTGTTTGTTGAGTGGTGTTTTTTGCTGATAGCTGGCTGTTGATGGTGCCTGGTAGACACATCGCACAATGGCAGAGCATTATCTCACGGTGACAGAGCATTATCTATAATTATACCTACGGCAGCTATTTCGAAGCTGAGTCTGCTCGTGAATATAGACACGCGTATTATGAGAGGTCAAGTCAGTGCTCTGAATTTACTCATTACTGCATGCTTGGTGCTTTGTTTCACCAGTTAGGCTTATAATACATAGGCCTGTTGCTTGGTAAATTAATTATGCGTGCATGTATTGGTCACTGAAGTCTGTAACTATCTAAGTCTGCATTCGCCTTACTGTATCAGGACACATTGAGTGATGCCAGCTGACCACGATAATACATCTGTTACTCTCCCTGATTGGCCAGCCTTCGCCTGATGAGATGTATATATACACAGCCCTGCTCGTGGCTCTAGCATGCAACACTCACCTCTGCACATCACTGCCTGCTTCAAAGCATTGCCTTATGTGGTAGTATAGCGAGAACCCTAATTGGAGGCAGAAAACTTTCACGTTTTTGTAGTAAACACGACTTTCTCATTGAGACAACTTTTCTTGCAAATTTCCCAACATACAAAATTTAGCCAGAAACAATTTTATGGGCGGTTGCAAAAATTTCTTCTACAATGTACACACACACATGGTCTTCTCTACGGGTTTTGTTTTGATTTGTCTGCAGTATGTTGAAGAAGAGATTTGGGACCCTGGGTCGCTCTTCAAAGAGACCGAAATCAGGTGCACAACAACAAAAACACTCACATTCTGTTTCCGTATGCTAGCATATGTATTACTTTATCATAGCGTTGAGTACACAGTATCATTTCCGGAATACTAACATGCACAATAGCTATGTAAATCTCTATGATGTAATGACTAAAGCTAGGTTGTCGCATTGCCCCGTCGTGCCGTGCCGCGAAGATGGAAATAGATTCTATCCTCGCGACGTGGCAAAGCGGCACAGCATGGTGAGGCAATGTGACATACTATTGTGAACCCAGCCTTACTCTACTGTATATACTTGTAGACCTACGTATGGATAAGGATCAAGGGACAGAAGGCAAAGGATCCGTACCACTTATTATGTCTAGATATCCTCATTTCGTTTTTAGCAAATTCCCAAATGTGGCTATTATTCTTTGCTTCTTGAGACACTACAGGAACATTGTTCTGCGCAGAGGGTTTGCACTTTAATGCACCTTTCATTATTATACACATGTAGACCTATGGATAAGGATCAAGGGACAGAAGGCAAAGGACCCGTACCACTGCGTGTGGCCACCTTTCTGTAGCACGCGTCCCGACATTGACTGGGTCAGTCTCACTACACACGAAGTCACCTTCAACCACGTCCGCGTCTACAAACTCTCGGAAACTGACAGCCTCTCGGTGTTCGTTTCATTTCTCGAACAGCTCTCCAGCGTTCCTTCCACGCGGGCCATTGTAGTTATCAACACCGAAGAGTCGTACGATTTGGACGCGAGGTTTTCGACGGATAACTATCGCGAGACGCCCGTCCCGGTTGTGGTGGTGAAACGGAAAGCGGGAGAGAAGCTGTTGAAGAATATTGAGAAGTATGGTAGAGATCTGGAGGCCAGTATTGAGGGAGGGAAGGAGGAGGAGGAGGAGGAGGAGGAGGAGGGAAAGACAGGGACTTTGGATAGAAAGAGAGAAAAGAAGTCGAAGAAAGACCGCGAAGATAAAGGTTTGTACAACACACACTACACATGAAGGTATTAGACCATGTGATGCCAAGAGAAAAAAGATGCGGAGCTCTGGACATGCATGATTCCCCAGCAAGTATACGTGAGGGTTAACCCATCATCACAGTTGTAAAGGCTATATGTACGTACGTAGGTATCTGGTGCTCCGCTCTTGTATGCATGGTGTGTATTTTGGTGGTGGTTATGTGTGTGTTTCAGTGTGTGTGTGTGTGTGTGGAGTGGATTTGGCGGTGGAAGTTCATTCCTTTTTCATGTTGGCTTCCTTTAAGCTTGTAGTACTATACACGTATGCCTATATATCATGAGGGTTAAACCCGTATTGTGCAAAAGGGTTTTAAATCCTTTTATTCAGAGTGACTAAGTCCACTGTGTTAGTGTTTTTTCTAACGTGTCAGGATCTCCACTGACCCAGCAAAGAGCCTTCACTCTACCTCGAGCTAAAGATCCCTACCCAGACACAAATGGAGTAGTGGGTGTGGCAGTGGGCGTGGCAAGGGGTGTGGCAGAAGGTGACCGACCTCAGAGTCTGGAGATTGGAAGAAGATCTAGTAAGTTTTAATCTGCAGAGTATGGGAACCCCAGTATGGCGTCGTTTGCAGGCATATGCCACCCTATTACATAATAGGGTAACTTGCCTTCACTCACACACATATCTTTTCAGATTGAGGTGTATATGCAACAGCTGAAATGTTGCTGCCTCATGTGGACACACGTACATGTATATAGTTTAGCAAAGAAGCATACCCACCTAGTCGTCTGAACTGTGGGATTGTATGTATGTACATAGACGGTGCTTTCCATACAGTGCTTTATTGCGCGTGAAATGTAGCCCTCGCAGCCGTGTGCATACATGATCGCTACAAGGTTGAATTTCCTTCCCGTTCTGCAGTGTTTGAAGGTCCAGAGACCCAGAGACCTAATGCAGTGACACCAGCCACGGGTCCAGAGCCTGAGAAAGACTCTCCAGCTGTCGTGAAGAACGGTAGGCCAGCAAACTACATAGTATCTGTCTCTTCTGCCTTTTCGGGCTTAGCCCCTAACATGCAGTTAGAGCTTCATGGGTCGATTTGAAGAGCCACCATTAATACTAACTGTTGATACTGACGGTTGTTTTGCAGTATGCTAGGCCTTGTCCTTGTTGGTTTGTGTGGTTTTTGTGTGAGTGTCTCTGTACATTAAAGTACCTGAACATTAATTTCCCTATACTAATGTACAATCGGTGTGCATATAAGCCGGTTCTACTCCTTTACTCAGGTCTAAAGGTGCGGATCAAGTCCGAGCCGGACTCGACGACCCGGGAATTCGACTATGCCCCTGCTCCGTTCTGCTCCTCCCTGCGCCCCGTGACCTGGGTTGGCCTCACTACCACCGAGACGACCTACCCTCACCTCCGCCTCCACAACATCCCCTCCTCCCTCTCCTCCGCGGAGCTGGAAGACGATCTCTCGTTCTTTTTCTCCACCGTGGCCAGTGTCACTGCTAATCTTGCCCTCGTCCTAATCAACTCAGAGAACTCCTTTAATCTCGCGGGGAAATTACAGTCGTTGTCTGAGGACCAGATCCCGCCTTTCCCCATGGTGATGGTTACCAAGGAGACAGGGGCGGAGCTGATGAGGTTGTTGGCTCAGCATTCCAGAGATGTGGAGGCCATGATCCAGCTGCCTCCTGGCTACAAGAGCACCATTAGCATACCTTCTTCCCCTCCAGGTTATTTCAATGCCCTTTCTATTTACATACATGCCTATGTAGTTTCTTCTTCTTTCAATCCCTTATCTCTTTTCTCTCTGTATCAAAGTTTTTAAAATATATTCTCCAGGCTCTCCAGCTTACCACAGTCTCTCAACTACAGTTGTCAAAAACGGTATGTCAACACAAACTCTCTTTCTCCTGAATTTGCGTAGCACCCATGCATTCACATTGATATAATGTCCAAGACCCTTGGTACCCAAGGCACACTTGCTGTTAACTTTTTGCTTGGTATAAGTACATGATCTCCTGTGACATTTGGGTGAAGTTGCGTTGTTTGCCATGCACATCTTTGTACTTTGACCTCGTTGCTGACATACATATAAAGGCAAGGACAGAATAAAGGATCAAAGGTTGTAGTGACCAAAGCTCTACCCCGTGTTGCAGGTCTGAAAATGAGACTGACAACTGCACCGTCGGAAGAGATGGCATTCGACTACATCTCGGCTCCATTCTCTCTCTCTCTCCGCTCCGTGGACTGGGTCAGACTCTGCTCCTGCGAGGCCACCTCCCCACACGTCCGTCTCCACCAACTACGCGAAGAAGACAGCCTCTCGTTTTTCATGTCGATGCTCGCCAGCATCCCCGCTACACTGGCCGTGGTGCTAGTCAACTACCGGGACGGATACGATCTGAGCGAGAGGTTGAGTGGTAGCTCAGAGCAGGGGTGTCCCGTCCCAATGGTGGTCGTGACGAGAGAGACGGGGAGGGAGATGGAGAGACTGCTACGAGAGAACGAAAGAGCCGTGGAGTTGAAGATGGACATATCAACGGGGTCAAAGTCCAATCCTAGTCCTGCCAACTCACATAATCTTTCAGGTATACTGTATGTGTCTGTGTATTTATGTAACGTACTATAATAGTTTCAAGGGTTTTCTAGCAAGCATTTAGGAGAAGTACAGATATTTTGAATGGCCTACACCTTTCGTACTTGTGCCTGTGGAAATAGTGGCCTAAACTGTTCGTACTTTTAGCAAGCAAGTGGGGGGAAGGACAGGCCATCCAACCATCCTCATAACCTTGACTATAGTTTCTGTGTGAAGAGCAATAATGCCGATGAGTTATCCTAAATCTTTCGTACTTGTGACCGTGGAAATAGGGTGGCCTAAACCTTTCGTACTTTTAGCAAGCAAGTAGGAGCAATGACAGGCAATCCAACCATCCTCATAACCTTGACTATAGCTGAAGTTTGCAGTGCTCAGGACTGTGTATAGTACATAATATTATATGAACCATATCATGTCATATTCTGTAAATACACTGTGTCCTTTTCTCTATGTTCAGCAGCAGTGTACCCAGCTGGTTCCCACAAGAAGAATGCTAGCATCAGCCACACTGTCATCAAAGAAGGTATTATACCTGTGTTCAAACTATACAAACCTAAGCTGGAACTTCTTCATCTGACCGACAGGTCTAGAAATCCAGAATGGGAACAAGACCCTCTGGTTTGACTACGGCTGGTGCTCATTCAACCAGACCTCCGTACGCCCATTCCAGTGCCAGCACCTAACTCTTCACGAGGCCACGTACCCTCACTACCGCCTCCATCGTCTCACTCACAAAGACAGTCTGAGGTTCTTCATGTCCATAATGGGGAGCATCCCAGCAACGCTCGCCGTGGTCCTCGTCAATTTCGACGACACCTTCCGCCTCTCTGAGAAGTTTGTTTCCGGCGAGGGGGAGTCCCCGCCCGTCCCTGTTATTCTGGTTACAAACGAGACGGGGTCGCAGCTGGCTAACTGCTGGAGGAGAACCCTAGAGACGTGAAGGCAGTGGTTCACACTATGTCACGGGAATCTGCCTCACCTTCTCCAATTAGTGACCCCCGACCCTGTCAGTGCTTTAAAAAAATTTTTAACATAAATTTTACGAAGCCTCTAACTACACGTGTGTACTCAGATATCGTCCTTATACATACCTGCCATTTGTCGCATGCCACCCTTTTATGAGCACTCTTTTTCTTTCCCCGAGAATATGGGTGGTTCTGCCTTTATGATCCATAGAGCATGTAACTGTTGCTTTCATGGAGAAAACTGCAGATATTTTGGCTCTAGAAATTAACCCAGTGATATTGCTAATTGAATGTTCTCCCTCTAAAGTTTCCTATAGTTACAGTTCCATAGCTTTTGTTTAGTAGAAAGTGGTTGCTATTTCTCTTTTTCTCTGTTCAGCCCTGACACCCAGTCCTGACTATGAAGATACAAGAGGTGATTACATACATGTATAGCATTATGAGTTTGTGTGGCAAGACCTGAATTGTCCATGTTGCATTAGGGAAAGTATTCTTTAGTATTTTGCCTGATCCTGTGAACATATGTAGTACGTAGTTGTTGTATGCAGTGCTGTTGTAAATAGCAAAACTACTTACTGCCGATTTTGGAGAACATAATAGGTAGTTAAGTATGTAAGTATTTAGATCTCATGGTGTGTTGTGTTGTAGATTCGAACCCCTACCACCTGAGTTGCCCTGGTAGCTCAGTTGGTAGAGCGCTCGCCTAGACTGCAGAGTGTCGTGGGTTCGAATCCCACCTAGGGCAGCCCTTCTTCTTTTCTCTGAAAAGAAAGAGCTGTCCTGGGTGTAGTTGACTTGTTTGCCTTGCCTTGCCTTTCTACCTCGTTACCAAGTTGTTGAGACATGGGAGTAAACTAAAGTTGTGTGTGTACAGGTCTTCATGTGAAGATAGGGTTCGTGGGGGCAGTGGTTGACTATGAGTATGTTCCTGGACCATACCGCCAGGAGGTGGGGGACATTGACTGGGTCTGCCTCACCTCTGGCGAGGCCACCTACCATCACATCAGGATTCACGACCTCAAGATGGAGGACTCCCTCTCCTACTTCATGTCCACCATGGCCAGCACCCCAGCCGCTCTCGCAGTCATCTTTGTCAACTCCGAAGAACACTTCAGGTGCGTACGTACGTTGTCGTGCATATTGTGTCAGAGTCACCGATCAATAAAGAAAGCAAAGCCTCTAGTGAGAAAGAGAATAATGTTGAACGCTAGGAATGAAGAAGCTGGCAATGCTGTATTTAAGTGTTCTGATCGCATTATTAACTGTACATTTGCATCCTATCTTGGCATCACATCCTGTATACATGTTTCCACAGACTGGCAGACAAGTTCAAGTCAGAGGATCAAAGGCCTCCGGTACCAGTTCTGGTGGTTACCAGGGAGACGGGGAGGCAGCTGCTGAGGCTTGTGGAGCAGAACCCGAGAGAGGTGTACATGAAGGTCGACAGACTCTCTCTGCAGGATGTGGTGGAGAGGGGAGGTGAGAGAGGCGCTGGGTTTAGTTGGTTGGTTGCAGTTAGTGTCGTACCCAGTCGCTCCACCCACTATAGGGGAGAAGGAACATTTGAAAGCTTTTGATCAAAACCTGGTCGCCAAATGTGCATGCGCACCAAGGGTTAATTATGGTTTATATACTTACATGTGTAGTAGTATTGTGAATGAACTACTCCGTCATGTTGAGTTTGCTAGCATGTAGCTATAATTACTGAAGCATCACTACTTTTTATCAACTAGTCACACTTCTTGCCCCATGCTGGTCGACAAAGAGAAAATAAACTTTCGTAGCTATATCTGTTCCAGCACTTACGAGCTTACATTACATAGGACTGAGAATTGTGGACTAACTGGTGGTTACGTAACTCTTTCCCCAGGTCTTCAGGTGCGAGTGTCCAACAAAAACTCGCCACAGAAACCAAGAAAAACCAGTTTCGACTTTGTCTGGGCCCCGTTTCACCAGATTCCTCGGGCCGTCGCCTGGCAACGACTGGCCCTGCACGGGACCACCTTCTCTCACCTCCGACTCCATAATCTGAGTGACTCGGATGACCTCGGGGATTTTCTGACCCTTATGAGCAGCATCCCCTCCACCCTGGCCCTCGTCCTTGTCAATACTGCCAGTCACTACAGGTCAGGAACGGTACAACACACAGTGAGGCAGAGTCTCATTCAACTTTAATATGTGCCTATGATACGTCCATGTAAAAAGTTGCATGCAATATTATACATCGCTCTCGATTTTCGTGCAACATGAAAATAAGAGTGGTGGCATCTTTCGTACATGCACTTGCCTTATGTTGCACCCCTGATTCAGACCGTTCTGTGACATACAGAACAGGGTTTTTGGTGTGCCTTTGCCTTGTGTTGTGTGTCAGGCTTTGAGCCAGCCTGCAGGGCTAGCTCAGTGGTATAGAGCACTCGTATAGAGAACAGTTTGTCGTCGTGTGGGTGGCTGATGATGGCCGTTGCTATTCCCCTCAACCTGCAGACTATCGGACAGACTGGCGTCCAGTGTCCAGACACCGCCAGTTCCAGTGGTGGTGGTGACGAGAGAGACGGGTAGGGAGCTGGCTAGGCTGCTGGAGGAACACCCGCGGGAACTAGAGGCCCGCCTGGAGACTGCTCTGAGGGGAGCGCTCTCTCCTGATGTCTCCTCACACGCCTCTCCCACTCGCAGTGAGTCGTGTGTATCCATTATAGCACGCTAGTATACGCATAAATAGAAGAGAAGGAAGAGAGTCGGAAATGAACTCGTGTCCTTACATTAACATGCATAAAGTTCTAGCTCCTTAGAGCAAAGTGCGGATAAATGATTGCTCGATTACATGCATACAAGGTGAAGTGAAGACACTTTGTAAACTGTACGTGGGGAAATGTTGCCATGGGCTGAAGACGATTACGGTAGAGCTGTAGCAATGAGGCATTGCATGCGCTCACATGCACTTCATACGTGTATATTTGACTGCAGGTTTGCTGTTCTCAACACCTTCTTCAGCATCAGGCGTTGTGAGCCGAGGTACGTTTTATACTTATTGTATTGCACGTACTATGAAGATCGATGCTCCACTTGTGTACTGTACTGCACTGTTTGTATTGTACACTTAGAAAGAACCAAGCTGTAGCTGTAATACACTTCATACAGAAGACTTATACATGTACTGCAGGTCTTGAAGTGAAGCTGACAAGAACGGAAGAGAAACGGTTCTTCAGCTTTGCGTGGGCTCCGTTCTGTGACTCGCCACTCTCCCTCGACTGGCTCGGTCTGGCCGACCATCAGGTCAACTACGATCACATACAGCTACACAAACTCCAGCCAGACAAAAGTCTATCGTTTGTTTTATCCACATTCGGAAGTCTCACCTCCACCCGCGCGCTCCTACTTGTCAACACCTACGATAGTTACGAGCTGGACGAGCAATTTCGGCCCAAATCGGAGGGGCCGTGTCTCCCGGTGATGGTGGTTACCAAGGAAACGGGGGCGGAGCTGCTGGGGTTTTTGAAGCAGCATGGGAGGGATGTTGAGGTCAAAGTTCACGAAGCCGGGTCGCTGGAGGAGGGAGAGGGGGAGCCAGATGATTGGGAGGTTATTCCTAGCCTTCCTCCTCAAGGTATAATATACCAGAGGATTATATGCAATAATCTGTACGGAGAGTGTTTGATGGCATTGGTCATAAAATTGGAGCAAATTAGCCCCGTCAAATTCCCTTCCCTCATTAATATCTGTACAACGTGTGGTAATTAATCACCGCGAAATAATGGGCCTATACCTGAGTTTACGCTCGTTGTTTTACACTGGCTGTGTATTGGTCTTATAGACTACATTATGTATGTATGTACCTTTGATATATATGACAAATAATGTGTGTGTTTGATGATTCTTTTCCAGCTGAGGATGTCCCAAGTTTCCCCAGTGTTATGGAGTCTATGGCAACCCATAACGTCATCACAGATGGTACATACATAAGATTAGAACACTATGTACCTCATTAAACTTTGAACTCATATTATCGAATGAAACGAATATTTTGTGAAAGGTGATTGCAAACACGACTGCCAAATGTAGTTAACCCTCGGCGTGCAGTGCACAGCGAGGGTTACGGTACTTGTGTTGTTTATTATCTCTCTTTCTCTCCCTCCCTCTCTCTGTTTCAAGGTCTACTAGTCAAATCTAAGAAAAAGAAAAACAGTAAAACCACGAAATTTAACTACATATGGGCTCCGTTTTGCTCGACCAGACGTGAGATAGACTGGACCTCCCTCTCCCTCTCCTCCTCCCTCCCCAAGGCCTCAGTCTTCTCGTCTCTACCCAAGACCTCTGGCCCTTCCTGCGTCTGCCTCCATGACCTCGGCAGAGATAAAAACATACCTCGCTACAAAACTCTTGTCCAATCACCTCCCATAGAGGTCAGTTGGCAACAAACTTTGTCTAAAAGGCATGTTTGCGAATGTTGACACAGCCAGCCGGCCAATTAGCCCAAACTGCTTTCGCAAGTTCACAAAATTTGCAAACACTACAAGTGTACAGTGGAACCTGCTTTAGCGGACACTCCATATAGTGAACACCTACTGTGTAACGGACAATGTACGTGTATATATACCAACTGCTTTTCCCAAACTTTAAGAGGAAGTTCCACAGTAAACGTTGAGTCAGTATATAAGTACTTGCAGGATGTTGTGTGTTGAATAATACTACGTATGTGTGTGTGTACTTGGTATTCTACAGGCCCTGATTCTCATGAACACGTGCAACGGGTACAAGCTACCTCAGGAGTTCACCGTGCAAGACATACAGAAACCTGTGCTGGTGGTTACCAAGAGCACGGGGGAGGCGCTGAGCAGCCTGGTGAGAGAGGGGCTCGAGGCCAGGGTGGAGTTTGGAGGGACGGATGAGGAGGGAGGAGGGGGGTGGGTGGTGGAGGGAGGGGTTGGGAATACTCTGCCTCTCCAGGTCCCGCAGAAACCGGAGTGGGAGGACTGCACTCCACGGTTTGTCTCTCATACTGCTGTAGACCCACTCCTAAAGTGTTGCCCCAACTAGGATTTCCCCCGATACGGCTGTGGTGTGTATGCTAGAGTGAACGCGTGTTAAAAATAGCCCCATGTGTGCATCTGTCATGCTGCTGTACACCACTTTGTGTTTTCCCAACTAACGTTTCCTGCGATACGGCTGTGGTGTGTGTAACTAGAATGCTAGAGCGAATGCACGTTAAAAATAGCTGCTGTACCATGAAGGTATTAGACCATGTGATGCCAAGAGAAAAAAGATGTGGAGCTCTGGACAGCTGTTTTTCGGGCTTGTTGGCCCTCATCTGCAGAGCATACCGCAACTTCTCTCTCTGGCATCACGAGTTTATAAAGGCTGCCATGAGTGCAGCACTTGTGGTTCTGAACTAATGAGCCCACAAGACTTTGCCACTGGTATGAGCTGCTGACCATGCCCAGACATTCGTGGTTTGGAGCCTAGGCCCCTCCCCACTCCTGCTGGTCAAGGCCAGTACCGAGCCAAAGCCCGAACTCGCCCATGCACATCATTGTAGTTTAAGTACGTACAACACTACCGTGCTTGGTGATTTCGACAACCTTGGCATACTTAGAAACATTACGTCATGGTGACTTCATAGGAGCCCTGCAACTGGTATATATTCTTAGTGGTGTATGTGTATGTCTATCTGTGTACGCTGCAGAAAGTAAATGTTTTGATAAACATGAGTACACGTGAGACAATTTTGGCTTAGTGAAGTACAAGCAACTATTCACGTGCGTGTGTGTGTATGTACATTGTCTAGATCCAGTGAGATGGCAGAGATAACTGGTGGTATAGCTGCCGGAGGTAGTGAGGCACTGGCTAGTGCGGTTGCAGAGGAGGAAGAGAGAGTGGCAGTTTCTGAGGTGAGAGAGAGAACCGGCAGCCAGCAACCTGAAATGAGTGAAGAAGGAGGCGGAGAAGAAGAGGAGAAGGAGGAGAGAGAAGAGAAGGAACAGCACCAGATCGAGGCTCATACAGCTTCTGCCACTAGCTCACAACAACAACAACAGTCTGGTGAGCGCAAGTTCAGCATTATCGTGACTGTACCACATACATAGATAGATACCTGTCACTGTATACTGTGATTCTATATAGACACCTTCATCAATGACATCTCACGGTAGCACTACCAAAGACTCTTCAATCCTGTATACGTTTCATGTACAATACACTCACTCTGTTCTTTCCATATTACTTTATGTAGACGCCCAGCCCCAGCCAGTGTTTGACCATGAACTGGAGCAGAGTTTAGCAGAGTTCACAATACTGGACCAGACAGAGACTCAGCCACCACCAGCTGACCCACCAGCTACCAGTACACCTAGTCAACCCAGCCTTCAGCAGCCCAGTGTGCATGGCCAGCAGAGCCTTCAACCAAGTCTTACTGGTCCACCCAGCTTTCAGGCCAGCACTCCTAGCCAGCAGGGCCTTCAACCAAGTCTTACTGGTCCACCCAGCTTTCAGGCCAGCACTCCTAGCCAGCAGAGCCTTCAACCAAGTGCCCCTCTCACTCCCATGGACACTCTGCAAGGTATGTATACTGCTGGAGAATTTACTGTACTTGTACGAGTGCAGTAAGTATTGGCGAGCGAACAAAAGTGCGAAATCTCAGCGAATTACATATAACATGGTATGGGTATGAGGTATGGGGCTCACTTTGCTCTCACCAGTGGAGGGTTTGTTTTACAGAGTGTGTAACCACAGCCTGTGCTACTGAAATACCTGTCTGCCTCTGTTTATTGTACTGGACTTTTAAGTACAATTATATGCATGTGAAAACTATGAGGTATATAGGAAGGCAAAGGCACAACAAACAAATCAACTATACCCAGGACAGCTCTTTTATTCCGAGGATGTATGTAGCATTACGCTATACGTTAAGTGTATGAGACTGTGATTATATGCAGAGTGATCCTCTCCCTATGTATGTATGTATAGATGTGCCCAGTCTGACCCCGACTGGGGCTAGCAGCTCCCTGGGTCCTGGGGAAGACAGCTCTCTCTGTGGGACACCCACTATGCTACCTCCACAGGAGATTGTTCCCTACACTGCCGGCCCATACACTGGTACCATACGCCATACTTAGTCTACCACACATTGTGTGTAGCCCTAGATATCTCACATTCATCACAAGCATTGGGATTGTGTGGAAGCAGGACTAGGTAAAACCCCTTCTGCTCCTGCTTACACGTGCCTGTGCCAACATATGCATATACACACAGTGGAAGCCTTCTCTTAAGTACATCCCTGAACTGAGGACACCTCTTTTAATAAGAGGTTCTCACATACAATCAAACCCCTGAATTACTCTATCTGAGTTCCATGTCCGTATCACTGGGGTTGTTGAACAATATCGAATAGCCTGAGCTGTTTATTTCACTGGACTCTCTGGTCTCTGTATGTATGAACCACTGTGCACAGGTCCAGGGAGTGAGTTAGGTGAGAATTTCCTGAGTGAGGTGTCCATCTCGGGAACGGCCATGATCCCTGGAGACGACATCTCTGCTCTCAGGACTACCAGCAGCAGGAACATTGACTGGAAGAAACCCATCAATAATGGTACAACTGCAGAACTATATTCATCAGTAGTCATATAAACGGGGTTTCTATATGCTCGCATGCATGAATATTACACACAGTACTCAGTGGGTTAAAACATAGTAGGATGTTGGAGCCTCTGTGGTTCCTTAACTACCAACGATGGTATAATACGTGGCAAACAAAGCTCTATCTCTAAATGCCAAGATGAGTGGGTATAGAATTGAAACCGATGGGCACAAACCTACTGCTACCTTACAGTGGGGAACACTCAAGGAAGAAAGTGTTTCAACAAACACAAATTTACATGGAGAAAAATTTCGTGGGTTGCTGATAGCTAATGGACTGTGAAATGAGTGTCTCAGAAGGTTCACGTACACTATACGTAATGGACGATCAGCCAGAACGATTGCAAGGATGTTTCTTCTACTACTTTACTGTTACTGTACTATGCAACTTTGTTGGATATCCCTAGGCAACCGACATGTATGAAGCTAGGTACTAGGGGATTGTATCAGCCTATACAATCCTTACATGTGCAAGAAGGGTTCATACATGTCGTTGCCTAGGGATATCCAACAAATCTGTTGCAGTACCCAGAGAAGACAGCATTCGCCCTTACAGGTCTCTGTCTGAGCACTGCAACATATATGTACATTGCATGTATGCAAAACAATACATGCAACAGTAAATTGCGTGTATGCAACTGTGACATTGTGTGTATGCACGCAGGACTCCAGATAAGACCAGTGAAGTTCCAGGGACAAGACACAGTCTCTCACTTCACCTACCAGTGGTCTCGGACAACAGACACCCCGCAGCGAATGGACTGGCTGCTTCTCACCGAGCAGGAAGACTACCCCGACCAACACATCCGCCTACACAAACTCGAGAAGGACTCTGACCTCCAGGTGCTCATGGCGATGCTAGACGCCAGCCCCGCAGCCGCTCTACTGCTCATCAACAAGAAGAATTCGTACGACATTGACAGAAGTTACTTCCCTCCCGGAGAACAGGTTTGTGCTGTAGAACAAGCCGCAATGAACTGTTGTAGTCCAACTAATATATATACCACTCTACATTATTGTATGGTGCACAAAAGCAAACATGTCATAAGAGCTTTGATATACAGTTATTGGTATCGTAATAAACAGGCAACTATGCTGTTGGGCTAACCATAAGCTTGTGTGGAGGAGAGTACAGGAGATGTATGTATAATATAGCAGTGAACCCTTCTCTCACTACACCCCTGATTAAAGAGGCACTCCTCTCCAATAAGGACCTTTCCTATCCAATACTAAGGGTACTTTCTTCTGGCCTATTGATGTCTTAATTAGAGGGGTTCCATACGGTGGTAATGCCTGCATCACCTATTGATTGGTGGTACCATACCTCTATTACAGGTGTGGCCGGTGCCGATAATGGTGGTCACGGCGGAGACCGGGGATAAGATCAGAAGTCTACTGAGCAGTGTTACTGGCAGTGGAGCTGAGGCTAGAGTTAACATTGAACCATGTGAGCAGTCAAGTCAGTCGTATATACAGTGTGGTACAGTGGAACCACTTCCGAATAAGGGACACTATGGGGCCAATGATTTTGTACCTTGTAGAGAGGTCGTCCCCATCTCGGAGGTCAAATAATAATTATTATTAGCATGGGGTTTAAACAAGTGTCCTTTGTGGAGAGGTCGTCCCTATCTCGGAGGGTCCCTTGTCGGAGGTTCCACTGTAATCTACAAACTAACTTTTGCAATAGACAACTACATAGTTATACATGGTTGTTTCACTGTCATTCTCTGCAGCACCCAAGGCACCAAGAAAGGGTTTCTTCCAAAGACTTTTTTAGGGGAAATGTGAAAGAGATTGTCTGTCTTATGAACAACAAAAGCAAGCACCTATTTTGTGTACAAAACAAATGTTTGTTAGTATATTTGTGTATGCACCTTTATTACAACTGTACACATCTTTCGTTGTCCCAAATTATTATGTGTTTGACAACTGTCATATGTGGATAAACCACCTGCCAGATTGGGGAACAGATGACTCGCGGTTGCGTTGCGCATGCGTAGTACACTTTGCGGTGCCTAAGGAACAGCTGATCGACTGGGGAAAGCCGCGCGTTTTACAGAGATGCCTGGCTTGGAGGTGAGTTTTAGAGCCACTGTAATACATGTAGTAGCATGGGTTTGCCTCTCTTACTGATCTCGCTTCCCACCCGTAAATTCACCGATGGCAAACAGATCTGAATTGTTTAGGTGCGCACTATTAGGAGTAAGCCTGTCTTTCTCTCCATGTGTATCACAGGAGAGCACGCAGGATCTGGTGAACGGTCTGTTCTCTGATGAGAGCTCCGTGAGGTTAGCCTCTGTCAGGTGAGCTGCCTCTACTGACTTGCGAGCATGCACTCTTGACTATGCATCAAAGCATGGGACTGTTGGGATTGCATTACATCATTCAAAACTATTCAGAAAGATGTGCAAATAACATGATGTGGTGCTAGTATAGTTTGTCTATGTGCACATCCTGTCAAAGAGTGGAAAATGTCACCCAAACCACAATATTGCATACATCGGTATCTCTCTCTTGTGTGCAGAAAGATCAAGAATGCTATAATTGGAAACAAGATGAAAAAATCTTCGTTCATGCTCCTTGGGGTCATTCCTAGGTCAGTTCCCCCACTCCCCCTCCTATTCTGAATACAGTTTAACCTTGGACACTGTATTCCTGACACAAAGACATTGTAATAATTTACGACTTAGTGAAATTCCGGTTAATGTGAACATTTTTTGATTGTTCCTTGGAGTTATTATTGAGGGTACACTATATATGCCCAAAGCCGGTAGTTACAATAATCACGCTTATACAGTCTTAGGATACTTGTACTCTAGTTCAGAGTGGTTCGACTGCATCCTTCAAAGGAAATGTTTTTATAGGGGGCTTGCCCCCTTGAAGGTTTAGTACAGTCGAACCACCCAGATTTCATGTGAATGACCCCTTCAAACTTTGAAACCCCTCTCTAATGATACCCCTGAAATAATGACATCGCTCTAATTAAGGCACCTTTTCTTTCCCCAAGAACGGTTCTTGCGTACAATTCAAGTGTGTAGTGCACGATGACCGGTTTTGTTGAATGCAGGTTGGTGAGTCTGCTCTCTCAGGCCGACTGTGAAGATGAGCTGGTACGTGAGGCTATCATCAGTCTGGGGAGCTTCGCACATGGTATGTATGTGTACGTGATGTCCCAGCTCTGCTTACCAACTATGGGGCCCTTGGAGCCCCTGCATTCATGGCCCGACTTCAATTGTTCGAGCAAGCTACACGTCTTACTCAAAGTACACAAAGTTTAATTTACTCTGGGATTTATCCAGGAAGCTATGGAAGGAGGGGCTGATGTTTTTCCTATATTTAACCCTAGAAGTCTATTTACAATGCATGTCTCGACAACTTGGTAACGAGGTAGAAAGGCAAGGCAAGGCAAACAAGTCAACTACACCCAGGACAGCTCTTTCTTTTCAAAGAAAAGAAGAAGAGCTGCCCTAGGTGGGATTCCAACTTACAACAGCGAGCGCTCTACCAACTGAGCTGCCAGGGCAACTCAGCTGGTAGGAGTTCGAATCTACAACACAACACAACACAACACAACATAAGGCAAACCTTAAACCACTGTCCTATGGCACAGTATACTCTCACTGAGGCGAGGCAAAACAAGTCAACTAGCACGGCTGTGAAGATTGAAGTGGGAGGTCATAATTGTGTAGGAAGTTTCACAAATTAGTTCATCAACGAGGGATTAGCCGGGAAGCAATTGAAGTGAAGAACAGGGGACGGATTATGTACTTAACTGACCACCTGCCTCATATTCTAAACTCCCGCAATGCACATGTGACCCAAGTGCAGAATGCAACCAAGATTCACTACTGGCGATTTAGCCAGGAAGCAATTGAAGAAGAGAAGTATATTTGGCTACAGTTTATCCCTAAAAGTCCATATATCGAAGATAACACGAGGTTTTGTTTCATGATTTAACAGGGAGGCGTAGGAACGAAGGACTGGCTGACCACTTACCTCACATTTATCCCTAAAAGTCCATACAGCGCATGTCCGCGTGATCATTTTTGTAAGAATTCACTTGACTAATTAACTTGATGTGGATAACCCCATAATTGTTTACTAGCAGGGACTTGGCCGGGAAGAAGTTGTTATGTAGCTGACCTTGTGTCCAACATGACATCACAAATGATCACAAGTGATCACAAACGATGCACTTGCAGCTAGGAATGTACATACTTAATGCCTTAAGGAGACAGGAAGAGGGTCAAAGCTAGACCCTAATACAACTATGTAAACATCGTATATATATCATTCCAGGAACGTCTCAGAACGTGCAGGCGGTGCTGAGTTCAAGGGCACTTCCGCTGCTCATCAAAGGTACGATGATTCGTTGGAATTCAGTAGACCACTGCACTGATTCTCATTCTTGCATTTTTGTAGATCTCACCTTTACCCCTGTTTCCCTTCTTGGTTTATCTTCCCCTCCATTCTCCTTCCCTTTCCGTCTCCCCCTATTATGCTTCTCATGAAATTCCCATGGAATTCCCATGCCTTCTCCAAGTTACCCCTCTCTTCCCTCCTTCCCCTGGTTTTCTTCCTCTTCACTCTTCTTCCCTTTCTGCCCCCCACTATTATGAAATTCTCACATCCTTTCCAAGTTACAGTACATGTATCTTCCTTCCTTCCCCCGGTTTTCTTCCCCTTCATTTTTCTTTTACGATTTCTCCATAATGGTCATTCTACCTTCCCTTTTTCTTGCCATTCACTCTTCTTTCCTTCTGATTTCAGTATTTCGCACACGTATTTAGAATCGCTTAAGCATTACGTATATATGTGCCGGTTCACCATTACAGAGGGATGATTATATGGGAAAATCCTGCATTCAGACAATTAGGTGGGCTCGCTTTGCTCACCAATAACTTCTTTTCCTGAATTTTGCTCCCTCCCTCCCTCCCTCCCTCCCTCCTTCCCCAGGCCTGTCTCACACAGACAGTGCAGTAGTCAGTAGTTCAGTTCGAACTCTGAGGATAATCTACGAGTCTGGCCTGGCCCCCAGTGACCCAATATTCAGTGACCGCTCCACCGTGAGACTACTGGTCCACATGGTGTCAGGGACTCCACTATTGGCTCAGTCTGCAACCTCTGTTCTTACCAAGGCATGCCAGGTACCTACAACATTCACTGTGGGTAACTGGCTGCTAATTTGTACCATAGATTGACTAGGTAAACTCGACGTACATGTAGTTCATGCTTCAATTGCATGTAAAAGAGGGGACTGCAAGAATGAAGATACTTCTGTGAAGGATCAAACTCCTATGTAGTTACACACAACATGTAACGAAGACACAGAGGTTTGCAAATCGGCGCATAACCAAAGCAGCTTTTGACGGTATTTGTGCAAATACAGTCGGCTGGCTTCCATTGCTAAGATCTCACGATTTCGTACAATTCTCTCGTTGCGCAAATGCAGTTGTTTTTGACTCTGCAGTGTCCGGATCACCAGAACCAGTTGTGTGCTCTTGGAATCATGGAACCCCTCGCCTTCTCCCTCCAGTCCTCAGTCGCCAAGGTCAGTCAGTACCATGTGGCAGTGGACTAGAACAATTTCGCCACTTCTTCTCAATATGCAATAGTGGTTTACCTCTGCATTAAGTAGTTACGTATGTTTCAAAATGGCCTTGAACCTCAAACTCCCATAAGTTTTGTACTGCATGTATGTACGTATATACCTCTGAAGCTTATACACTATAAGCGTACAATATATTACGTGTAATGATTTGCGTGTTTCTCCAGTTGGTGCACGTGTCTCTGATGTGTCTTGCCACACTGGCCCTGGACAACACTGTGTGTGCCAGTATCATCATGACAGGTGTGAACACGATGATTACGGTATAGTGTACGACATACAGTTTATTCGCACGCACATGTGGAAGATTTGCTCTGCTGCAGTGGGTATACAGTGTAGTTTTGAATATGTGCTGTAGAGAAAGCTGTGAGCTGAGCAAAAGCGTGTTTCAATAGTAGATAATTATTTGGAAACAGTTCGCACGTTGACATTCTTCTCTTCATTTCTCCCTCTGTTCCACCTTCTCCCTCTCTATTCTTCATCTTCACACATCTACCTCTCTTCCATTACCTTCTCCTCTTCTCCCTCCCCTTCCTCTCTTTCTCTCCTTCCTCCCTCTCCCCTTCCTCACCTCCCCACCCCCTCCCCTAAGCCTCCTGTGGAGATTCCACTCTACTGTCTACCATCTCCAGGGCAATGTCTGGAAGTCACACCAGTGATATCAAACTTGCTGCTGCTCTCTGGTATGCATGTCTATAACTTTGGTTTGACTATTTAGCTTATATGGAACCCTTCTCTATTGAAAGTGGGTATGAGGACCGCCACTCTAATAGTTCTTTCCCAAGAACAGTTATTGCTAACCCTGAAATAAGGATACCGTACTAATATTTACACATTGTTCCGTCCCATATTAGTCCAGATTTGAGGGTTTCCACTGTATTCACAAGACCTGTACCTATACGCAGTTGGAGTATATTGCAGCAACTGATTCAGCATTGTTGCATCATTGCTGCGTTAGCGACAACTCAGTATTGCATCGATTTGCTGATCTTGACATGCCGTGTAGTACTGTAGTCATTTTAGCGGATGGCTACTGGTATAGTAGAGCTAGCCGGAGTCTGCTGACCGCGTTTGTGTAACACATTCTCGTAAAAATTTGCTTTGAAGCGATTCGTAAATTTTTTGGTGGCTCCGGTTTTTTTAGTTACGCTTGTTTTGTCTGTGTGTGCAGTGTGTCGCGGCTGTGTCAGTGCGGAGTTCTGAGTCACAGTAACTCCATCGTCACACTCAGAGCGCTCCCGACTCTAGTTCGTCTCTGCAAGGCTCGTGGGGATGTCCCTGTTAATACACAGGCTGCTCACACCCTTGGTAAGTACGTGCACTGTAGTATGTCCAGCAATGCACACTCCAGCTATAGTCAAGGTGTTTTGGATGTTTTATTAGTCTCTGTTTCCTCCTACTTGCTTGCTAAAAGTACGAAAAGTTATGCATTGCACTCTCTGCTAAATATTCACCATGGTTACTTTGGTGGCCCGTCCTTCCCCCGCCCTATGTACTTCTGTACCACCACAATGTGAAGGTGGCAATACATTATATTTTGAGGGAATGTCCAGCATCGGTGCAGAGTTAATCAGGACCAAAGGTGGAAACTATATCATGTTTGCTTACTTCATCTTCCACTACGATTGGCCAACTATACGCCTTACGTCGTGATTTGGGAAAGAGGGATGTCGACAAACCACTGTTGGCACACGTTGTATACGTAGAACCTGGGCTATTACATCATCACAAAGAGTCCCTCGTCCTTGTAGAGGGGAAAGAGTGTTAAGTACGTAGCATATCTCGCTGGGTGTGTGATCGTAAGTATAGGGGTCGTTCTTTTCGCGGAACTGCAACCACTGGTGTCTCTGAAATGGCTTCATTGCTTTATATCATTACTTCCTCTCCCATCCAGTCTTGGCCAGCTGTAGCGCGGAGGGATTAGGGGGAATGTGTCGTAAGTCAGAGAGGGGATGTGTCAGAGGGGAATTAACACCACAAAGAGAGTCGCCTTTGAGGAGGGGGTATTAGCGTGTTTCACTTGGCATGTGATCTGGGTACTTTCATTATTGGGGGGTTTTTCACTAAAATCTCGCTTACCGCTGTTCGGTTGCTCGGTATCCTCACTCATGTTGTTTACTTCCTCTTCTCTTCCACTTCCACCCAAACATTGGCCACGTACGTACGTATGTATACATGGATTGGGGTGCTTAAGTGTACATGTCGAGAGAGAGAGAGAGAGAGAGAGAGATCTCTGCACATTCATTTCGCATATGATTTCCTACGACGTAACTTCTTTTTACGTAGCATCAGGTTATCTTGGCGCTGCATGCACGTTCCCTGTAATGAAGCCTCTGTGCCTTCCCTGGAATGAAGCCTCTGGTTGAATGCCCACCGACCGCTTCATGTGTTTGTATCCTTGTGTACCACTCATGTGTGATTAGGTTGGTTTCCCCTCCGGTTCTTGTTCGAGGTGCAGTTCTTGATCCTGTTGATGAAACCACTTTCCATGCAAGCACTTGTGAACAGATATTTTCTCACTTACTAATGCTGAGGGTCTGGCACTAATTACAGAATGGAATTGCCTTCATCCTCGATGTCCTGGGTGTAGTTGACTTGTTTGCTTTGCCTTGCCTTTCTACCTCGTTACCAAGTTGTTGAGACATGCGCAGAAAGGGTTACAGTATAATTATACAGTGGGTCCCATACCTTAATATCATACCGTTTAATATTTTTTTGGATGCACGGCGGGTATGATATTAACTGGGACCCACTGTAATTGGTTCGAGTGTTCTCCTCATACATATTAGTCTTGTACCCAGCCGCTCCACCTTCAAGGGGAAGGCGCTTCTGACGCAAAACCTGGTCTAAAGACGTCATATCCATCGTATATGTACTTACATGCATGCATATTTATTTGACTCTGTCACTATGTTCCCCTCCTCCTCCTCCTCCTCCAGCGATCTTAACCAGTGACTCAGTCGATCTTCAAGAACTGGCTGCAAGCTCTGACCATCTCATTACAACACTTGTCGGTTACCTTGGTAACCGTCCCGACGAGAATGACGAACTGGTGGAAGAGAAACATCAGTTGGCTTTCGACAGACTAAGAGAGGTAAGGTATACTTACTACCACTCTCTAACTCTTGTATCTGTCACTTTTAAATTTGAATGTGCAGTTAAATTAACTTTTAATAAGAGACTCTCCAATAACCTTGGTTTAATAATGCGTCTTTTTTCCTCCTGATTGTTTTGCTTCTTCCTCTGCCTCACTCTCTCCCTGTCCTGTCCCTCCTCCCCTTCTCCCTCTCTCTCTCTCTACACAAACATAGGCCTGTCTCCTAGCACTGGCCAGCATATCCTCATCAAGAGAAGAAATCAGATTAAAGGTGACTAGATTCTCAGTACACGGTGGGCTCGCTCTAATCTGGACACCAGTCGGATAGAATAAAATTAGTGAGGTGTCCTTTTTTCAGCGGTTGAATTACATGGAGGGAATGTTCTTGGGGAAAGAAAGGGTGTCCTCATCTCAGGGGTACTTGTCATTAGGGAAGTGTTTTGCCATCTGCCCCTAGCTACTATATATAGGTTAGACGCTGGAAGCGAGGGACCTACGTAAATTCAGAAACCCTCGGGCAATGTAGTGCCTCGATGCGTCGGACACCAAATCTCGCCCTCAGGTTGATTTACGTAGTCCCTCAGCTTTACGTCTAACATATATACATTGGAACCCCATTAAGTGCATACATGAACCCCCATTACTAGTGCATACATGGAACCCCATCTAGTGCATACGTGGAACCCCCATTCTAAGTGCATCAGTGGAACCCCATTCTAAGTGCATACAGTGGAACCCCATTCTAAGTGTATCAGTGGAACCCCATTCTAAGTGAACCCCATTCTAAGTGTATACAGTGGAACCCCATTCTAAGTGGAACCCCATTCTAAGTGTATACAGTGGAACCCCATTCTAAGTGTATACAGTGGAACCCCATTCTAAATATAAGTGCATACAGTGGAACCCCATTCTAAGTGCACACAGTGGAACCCCATTCTAAGTGTATACAGTGGAACCCCATTCTAAGTGCATACAGTGGAACCCCATTCTAAGTGTATACAGTGGAACCCCATTCTAAGTGCATACAGTGGAACCCCATTCTAAGTGCATACAGTGGAACCCCATTCTAAGTGGAACCCCATTCTAAGTGTATACAGTGGAACCCCATTCTAAGTGCATACAGTGGAACCCCATTCTAAGTGGAACCCCATTCTAAGTGTATACAGTGGAACCCCATTCTAAGTGGAACCCCATTCTAAGTGTATACAGTGGAACCCCATTCTAAGTGGAACCCCATTCTAAGTGTATACAGTGGAACCCCATTCTAAGTGTATACAGTGGAACCCCATTCTAAGTGCATACAGTGGAACCCCATTCTAAGTGCATACAGTGGAACCCCATTCTAATGTTACAGTGGGAACCCCATTCTAAGTGAATACAGTGGAACCCCATTCTAAGTGTATACAGTGGAACCCCATTCTAAGTGTATACAGTGGAACCCCATTCTAAGTGTATACAGTGGAACCCCATTCTAAGTGCATACAGTGGAACCCCATTCTAAGTGGAACCCCATTCTAAGTGCATACAGTGGAACCCCATTCTAAGTGCATACAGTGGAACCCCATTCTAAGTGCATACAGTGGAACCCCATTCTAAGTGTACAGTGGAACCCCATTCAAGTGCATACAGTGAACCCCATTCTAAGTGCATACGTGGAACCCCATTCTAAGTGCATACAGTGGAACCCCATTCTAAGTGCATACAGTGGAACCCCATTCTAAAGTGTATACAGTGGAACCCCATCTAAGTGAACCCATCTAAGTGTATACAGTGGAACCCCATTCTAAGTGTATACAGTGGAACCCCATTCTAAGTGCATACAGTGGAACCCCATTCTAAGTGCATACAGTGGAACCCCATTCTAAGTGCATACAGTGGAACCCCATTCTAAGTGCATACAGTGGAACCCCATTCTAAGTGCATACAGTGGAACCCCATTCTAAGTGCATACAGTGGAACCCCATTCTAAGTGCATACAGTGGAACCCCATTCTAAGTGCATACAGTGGAACCCCATTCTAAGTGTATACAGTGGAACCCCATTCTAAGTGTATACAGTGGAACCCCATTCTAAGTGTATACAGTGGAACCCCATTCTAAGTGCATACAGTGGAACCCATTCTAAGTGCATACAGTGGAACCCCCATTCTAAGTGGAACCCCATTCTAAGTGCATACAGTGGAACCCCATTCTAAGTGGAACCCCATTCTAAGTGTATACAGTGGAACCCCATTCTAAGTGCATACAGTGGAACCCCATTCTAAGTGTATACAGTGGAACCCCATTCTAAGTGTATACAGTGGAACCCCATTCTAAGTGCATACAGTGGAACCCCATTCTAAATATAAGTGCATACAGTGGAACCCCATTCTAAGTGCATACAGTGGAACCCCATTCTAGTGCATACAGGGACCCCATTCAAGTGTTACAGTGGAACCCCATTCTAAGTGTATACAGTGGAACCCCATTCTAAGTGCATACAGTGGAACCCCATTCTAAGTGTATACAGTGGAACCCCATTCTAAGTGTATACAGTGGAACCCCATTCTAAGTGTATACAGTGGAACCCCATTCTAAGTGTATACAGTGGAACCCCATTCTAAGTGCATACAGTGGACCCCATTCTAAGTGCATACAGTGGAACCCCATTCTAAGTGGAACCCCATTCTAAGTGTATACAGTGGAACCCCATTCTAGTGTATACAGTGGACCCCATTCTAAGTGCATACAGTGGAACCCCATTCTAAGTGCATACAGTGGAACCCCATTCTAAGTGCATACAGTGGAACCCCATTCTAAGTGCATACAGTGGAACCCCATTCTAAGTGCATACAGTGGAACCCCATTCTAAGTGCATACAGTGGAACCCATTCTAAGTGCATACAGTGGAACCCCATTCTAAGTGCACACAGTGGAACCCCATTCTAATGTATACAGTGGAACCCCATTCTAAGTGCATACAGTGGAACCCCATTCTAAGTGTATACAGTGGAACCCCATTCTAAGTGTATACAGTGGACCCCATTCTAAGTGCATACAGTGGAACCCCATTCTAAGTGGAACCCCATCAGTGCATACAGTGGAACCCCATTCTAGTGTATACAGTGGAACCCCATTCTAAGTGCATACAGTGGAACCCCATTCTAGTGTATACAGTGGAACCCCATTCTAAGTTATACAGTGGAACCCCATTCTAAGTGCATACAGTGGAACCCCATTCTAAGTGGAACCCCATTATAAGTGCATACAGTGGAACCCCATTCTAAGTGCATACAGTGGAACCCCATTCTAAGTGCATACAGTGGAACCCCATTCTAAGTGCATACAGTGGAACCCCATTCTAAGTGCATACAGTGGAACCCCATTCTAAGTGTATACAGTGGAACCCCATTCTAAGTGTATACAGTGGAACCCCATTCTAAGTGCATACAGTGGAACCCCATTCTAAGTGTATACAGTGGAACCCCATTCTAAGTGTATACAGTGGAACCCCATTCTAAGTGTATACAGTGGAACCCCATTCTAAGTGTATACAGTGGAACCCCATTCTAAGTGCATACAGTGGAACCCCATTCTAAGTGGAACCCCATTCTAAGTGCATACAGTGGAACCCCATTCTAAGTGGAACCCCATTCTAAGTGTATACAGTGGAACCCCATTCTAAGTGCATACAGTGGAACCCCATTCTAAGTGTATACAGTGGAACCCCATTCTAAGTGTATACAGTGGAACCCCATTCTAAGTGCATACAGTGGAACCCCATTCTAATGGAACCCCATTCTAAGTGCATACAGTGGAACCCATTCTAAGTGCATACAGTGGAACCCCATTCTAAGTGCATACAGTGGAACCCCATTCTAAGTGCATACAGTGGAACCCCATTCTAAGTGCATACAGTGGAACCCCATTCTAAGTGCATACAGTGGAACCCCATTCTAAGTGCATACAGTGGAACCCCATTCTAAGTGTATACAGTGGAACCCCATTCTAAGTGCATACAGTGGAACCCCATCTAGTGGAACCCATCTAAGTGCATACAGTGGAACCCCATTCTAAGTGCATACAGTGGAACCCCATTCTAAGTGCATACAGTGGAACCCATCTAGTGCATACAGTGGAACCCCATTCTAAGTGCATACAGTGGAACCCCATTCTAAGTGCATACAGTGGAACCCCCATTCTAAGTGCATACAGTGGAACCCCATTCTAAGTGCATACAGTGGAACCCCATTCTAAGTGCATACAGTGGAACCCCATTCTAAGTGCATACAGTGGAACCCCATTCTAAGTGTATACAGTGGAACCCCATTCTAAGTGGAACCATTCTAAGTGCATACAGTGGAACCCCATTCTAAGTGCATACAGTGGAACCCCATTCTAAATATAAGTGCATACAGTGGAACCCCATTCTAAGTGTATATATACACCCTTGAAATTATCTTATGGGTGCCCCCTATAGATTTCACACATGTACCGAAAATGTCATAATTACACACACATCTCTGTAAAACTCCTGAAATGGTTCCACCGTACATGGTACACGCATGACACACATGTACGTAGGTATACTGATGACGTCACAATCACACACACACACACGTCTGTGACTGCAGATAGTGTCAGAGCGTCACCTGATGAAACATGTCGGGGAGTGTCTGAGTGGGGAGAACGTGGATGTCAAGATCGCCGCCTGCAAGTGCCTCCACAGTCTCTCTCGCTCTACCAAACTCCTGAGAACAACCATCATAGATACAGAGGCTTGGAGACCCGTACTTGAGGTGCATTATACACATTCCCTGGACTTCTCCCTCCTTTCCTCCTCTCTTCCTTTATCCCCCCACTCACTCCATCTGATTTGCCATTTCCTGCCTTCTGGTATACTTCTCCCTCCTTTCCTCCTCTCTTCCTTTATCCCCCCACTCACCTCCATCTGATTTGCCATTTCCTGCCTTCTGGTATACTTCTCCCTCCTTTCCTCCTCTCTTCCTTTATCCCCCCACTCACCTCCATCTGATTTGCCATTTCCTGCCTTCTGATATACTTCTCCCTTCCTTTTTCTCCACATTATGTCTTTCTGTCTTGCTCACCCACTCCCTTCCATTTCTTTCCTTTTCTCTCCCCCTCTCTTTGTCCTTAGGGGTTCGTTTTGGGGGGCAGGGGCACTCCCCCTTAATCGACTCTTGCCCCCTTGGTGTTGATGCACACACGCACACGCATACATACTGATTATGCTGCCTCCCCCACTTGCAACTTCTAAATTAAGGCCTGATCTTTTTCGTTTTCTTTGTGTTTCCTGTTCCCACATTCTCTTCCTATCCCTCCCTCCCTCACTCCCCTCCCTCCCTCCCTCACTCCCTCCCCTCCCTCACTCCCTTCCTACCACTCCACGACATATCCATGAAGATGCTGTCTCTGAAAGACGAGGAATGTCTGAATGTTGCAACTGGAGTGTCTGCCAACCTTCTTCTGGCCTTCTCCCCATCTAGAAAAGTACATCGGTTAACATAACATGATATACGACTTGGGGTTAACCTAGAAGTTGGATAACAGTAGAATGATTGCAGAGAGAGTGGAGATGGCCATCTTCTGTCCAGAGCTAGCTCCAGAGATTCATTGCTGGGGGACGATCAGCCCCCTTGTCTGGAAATTGTAGCTCAATGCCTGCATGTTTCCCCTATGGTTTTTGCTTTTGAACTTTACCCACCGTACAAAGAGACATCACTGAAATGAAGACACCTCTCTAAGTACAATACACCTTTGCTTTCCCCAAGAACTCTCCGAAATAAGGACACCTCATACTTTCTTCTGTCCCATTGATGTCTAGATTATAGAGGTTCCACTGTGTAAATAATTGTGCTCGTACAATGTGTTCCCACAGAAGATGGTGGCTGGAGGATGCCTGCAGACTCTCTGTCAACTTGTGTCACATGACAATCCCGGAATCAAGCTAAACGCCATCTGGGCACTAATGGTGAGACCAACATCTCTTCCAAGGGTCCCCTCCTCACCACTATAGAAGCAGAATGGTGTAAATCAAATTAACTGTCTTTTATGTAAGAATAAAGTTAGTCTATTAAACAGTTTTTAGGGGGCTTGCCTTGCCTTCCTTTTACAAAATATACGAAGAAGCAAGTTAATAACAATCCCGGAGTTTTTTAGCAATAATGCACGCTAAGGGTCCCGTAATTATGGTTTATCAAACTGTTCCGGTAGATGTGACCACAACTGTACACCCAGGACAGCTCTTCTTTGGAAAAAAGAGCTGTCCTGGGTGTAGTTGACTTGTTCGCTCTGCCTTTGCCTTTCTACCTCGTAGTTTACATACGCCGTTAGAAAAACACTAGTTGCATTTAAAAGGATTCAACAAAGAGCCTCAGGCAATACATTATAATGGTGCCAGTGTACAAGTCAGTGTGTGGAGTTGTGTGTTTGACTGTTCCCCGCAGAGCTGTGCCTATGACTCCACTGATGACATCAGGGCCCAGATCAAAGAACACCTCACTATACATAAGATGTTTGAGTAAGAATAGAGTAGTTTGTTATCATTTGCGTATGTATAGTATTGTATAACTCTTCTCTCTAAGGACAAACCTGAAAACGAGGACAGCTCACTAATGTAGACACTTTATTCCCTCCTTTTGGTGGCTGGATTAGAGGGATTCCACACTGTACAGGGTTTGATTTAGGGGATGGCGGGGGATGGCTCCCGCCATCCCTTGCCATCTCTTGAATTATTGGGAAGAGTTAGACAGTTAATATTGAACCACAGACACTGAAACTTCACAGCCAAGCCACAAATGTTTTTGATAATCCACAAAGCTACCACTTTAATGTCTTTTTGCACCAGATGCGATCTCAGGGACCCTAGAAATCCAAACCATCCGTTGTTCCTCAAAACCAAAATTTTGCCATCCCTTGAGTCAATGTCTAAATGAAACCCTGCTGTATACATATATACCTCATCTTTTCTGTCCACTGCAGAAGTTACATTTACACCAATCTTACCTGAAACTTACTACTACTACGTAGCTACGTAACAATTGGACACATTTCCTTCTCTTCACACAGGATGGAGTAAAACTTACTGTATAATTGTAGTATTGTACATGGCAACCATTGTACTGTATACATTCCTACTGTGTGTCTAATCCTGGTCCTTCTGTTGTTCCGTCCTTTCTTATTTTCTCTCCTCTCCCTTCACCCTCCTCTTTGTCCGTTTCCCATCTGCCTGTCTCCTCCCTTCCCCATCTCACCGTCTGTAGACTCCTCTCTCCGTCGTGTAGCGAGAGGCAGTTGCTCAAGTCTCTGGGACTGGTGGTCAACCTTCTCAGTGAATCCGAGGTTAGTATATACAGTGCATCTCTAAGAGGTATATACCCTTGAGATGAGGATACCTCTCCAATGAAAAGAAGTGCAAACCCTCGGTACGCAGCAAGCAAAGCGTTAAACTGCATGCTCGGAAAGCACCACTAAATTGATGGGCCAGGCCACGCCATGTGGGTCTTTTTTTACTCTAACACAAGCTATGTACTAGCTGGATTATTGAGCAGTGAAGCGCTAGCCTGGATAGTTAAGGCGCTCACTCCACTTGTCCAAATAAGGCTAGCACTAGTATAATGGGTGTGCAGTCGTTTCTAATGATAGGGACACATTGAACTGAACTGTACATCACTAATTCACATTCCTGCACAAGTGCTATATTGGAGTTTCTGCTGTGGGGGGACTTGGCCCCGGTATCGCACTAGAAAAGCATACTATTTGTCCGGGATTAGGAAACAGTTGCCAAGGTGATAGATCATGGCAAGAATGAGCTATTGGTTTGAGGTGGAACTAAAATGGGAAACTGCCAAGTGTTATGTAATGAGCATCACCATTTCACATTTCTGAGCATGGCAAATATAGTACGCTACACACAGAGTAGAACCAACAAACACGAATTGCAATACCAAGTATTCCTACAAAACGCTAGTGCAATTGTAGTGAAACTGTCGCAATTATGGCAAAGTGATCTAACGGAACTATACATCACCAATGTACATGGTAATGCAGGATAGAGCTGCAGCAAACACGAGGCACTATCTTATAGTTTCAGCAGACGTTGCTTCCAACTGGGGGCTACCTTAATTGCCATTTCTCTATAGTATTACAATGGACCCTTGGTTACCTAACTCTGTTTACCTGACCACTCGTTAACACCCGCATTGGTATGCACGTGGAAGTGAGCCGTTCTTAGGAAATGATGTGCATTTTTGTCTCTCTAGAGACCAGGATGGAGATACCCCTATAGGAAGGGGTATTACCCCTATAGTAAGGGGTATTACCCCTATAGTAAGGGGAAGTCAGTAATGGCTCTAGACTAGACTGCATAGTTGTGCATGTCAAACAAGCTTGGCATTAATGTACATGCTTTTCCCGTGTACGGGGTTGTGAACTTAAGGCAAGTGCATATCAAAAACAGCTTGGACAACATTTTTCAAAGGAATGAGAGCCGCGCTAGATGGGACTCGAACCTACGACGACACTCTGTTAGACTAGTCCACTACCTACAACACTGAGCTACCAGGGCAGCCCTGGAGGCTGGGCTGGAAAGTGTATGTATATATGAACATGCTACTGTACCCCAGAGTTTGGATAAGTGAGGGTCCATTGTGTTTCACTAGCGTTATCAAGCCAGAAAAAACTCTAGTGGACTAGTGGGGTAGTACAGTGGCATACTCACTCTCCTTACCGGTAAGGTGTCACTGTTGGTTTGAAGTAAGTGATCTATAGTATCATCAGTCCTTTTCTGCATCTGCCAGATTGTAAGGGCTTTTGTCGACTTTAGCTCAAAAAACTAGTCCACAAACATCGGCTCTCGGAGCCCGATGTTGGCGATACATTCCTGAAATGTTGATTAGAGTATTCACAAGCCAATTTCCAGCTCCTATATATTTCACTAACCTACTGTGTTTACACTGGTAATTATACAGGAAGTGGAGTGGCTTCTCCAGGAACATGGAAGTGAAGTATGGGCCAGTCTACTGTCTCTCCTCAGTTGCCATTCCAACAACTCCATCACTGAACAGGTGTTGCTAAGGAAGTAGGAGCATAATGTACATGTAATGCCTTAATGTCAGTGCCACCATTAATTTGTCTTCCTATAATAATTGCAAATATAATGGGAGAAGGGTAATCAAAAATTACAAACAGCAGAGCTAGGCGAAATGTACTGCGAGTGCATATATGGATGATAGGCACTGCATTGCGCATGGTGTAGACAGATATCCACTTAATAGCTTTCCACTAGACAAGATACGAGGGCATGTTCCTTTTGACATGGGACAAATGGTAACAACCTCATATAGTAGCATCACTTGTAAACATGAGGAGATTTTAGCAATTGCATGGCCCAGGTTTTTTCCCCTTACTCTAGACTGTGGTTATTATGAATGTGCTGGCACTTGTGACACACGGCTTCACAATCTAGGCTGTGGTTGTAAGGAATTTCATTATTTTCATACATTGCTCAGCACTCTAGTGCACCCACGGTTTTGTGAGCCATGTGGGTATAGTTGGTTGTTAATTACCTTTCAAGTTCAGATCATGACTTCTGCTAGCTCTACAATGGAAAAGAATGTTATACAGGGTGATTCCAATGAAGCAAAGGCTCCCTATCCTGTGTGTGCGTGGATTGTTACATGGACAGTGGTGACCTTACTTGACCTCACTGCTGATTGTTCGTTGTTGCAAGTTCGAGCTGTGAGGCTATACAGCATACAGGTTGCATAAACTCTGTATTGTGGTCATGCAGCTTAGGTATTTTAAGCCAGTTGGTCTGCCAGTACGGCAATTATAACTTGGTAAATAGAAGCCTCCACCTCCAAACCAACAGCAAGGCTATCTAACTGCGGCATATAATGTTGGCTCCTGATAGACCCGATATATTATTATTGTCTGGGTATGCCTTCTCTACATGTTTCAAAATGACTCAGATTAACTCTGATAGGTAAGACACTTATATAGATGCAAGGGCTGTATACACTGCCAACCCAGTGGAATGCTCCAAAGGGCAGTAGGTTGGATAAACCCTTTGTGTGTTTATCCCAATCAAGGTTTATCCAATGAGACAGACACTTGTAGTGTAGCCACTACATATAACCCGACTTCTAAAGGCTGCATACCTACGTGAGTAGATTGATCTTAACAAAGTATGTATGTAAGTACATATGGAATAGGTAAGGCTTGCCAGTGGTGTTTATCCAACGCACGCTAACATGCAGGATACTGGGATTATTGTCTTGGTCGCTGGTCTTCCCCACTTACATGTATAATATTATATATATACGTCCATAGAATTGATCTCGCACTGACTACTCGGATTGTACTGGTGTGTAGAGAGAGAAAGAAAATGTCAGGAGTCAAACTCACGTAACTAACAGATCACGCTTTACAGAGAAAGAAAGAATAAAACAGATGAGAGAGAAAGGATGACGACGTCATAGGGCTTCAAAAGGACTTACTCATGTAGGACTAGCAACACATGCAAATTCTGGTGCACGATGGTGGCAACATATTACGTTGAGATATTACGTAGTGATGCACCGCACATGTGGTATCAAACGCATCAAAATATAGTCGCAAATAAGAAAAAATCGTACGAAAAGTTTACAGATAAACAATGATCCACAAAACCTAGACAAGGTTTGCCTTCCCTCTTCCCTTCTAAGCTATAAGATGCTTGCATACTTGTAGGCGACTGAAGGACTTGTATACTATGTGTGCCTTGTAGGTTATGTGTGTTCTGATGAACATAGCCAGTGCCACAGAGAGGACAAAAGACAATATGGTGGAGCACGATGAGATACTCAGCGGAATTGCTGCCGTTTTGGTATGACGCTACTACCTGCATGACTACTCTGCAGATTGTGTCTCCATTTTCCAAGAACGATCAATACGTGACCTGCATGACTACTCTGCAGATAGTGTTTACATTTTCCAAGAACGATCAATACGTGATACTAGCTGTGCATTTTGTGGGCCATGAATGTTAGTTTTGTATGGTTTACACATGTCAATAATCTAATTCACCTGCATTATTACTCTAATTGATGGTATATTCTCAGAGGAACAGTGAGAGGATTGAAGTGCTCACAGCAACATGTACAGTTGTTAAACACTTGGTGGACTCCTCTATATCAGGTGTGTGTTTGTGTGTGTGTGCATGCGTGTGTGTGTGTGTGCCTATAGAGAAGATAAACCGGCAGTGGATGAACAAAGGAATTCAGTGGGTTATCTGGTGTATATCTAACCTGAGCCACTGGAATTTAGTTCTGCTCTGGTATTGACAGAATTTCACCTGTGATATTGTAGTAGAAGTGAACTCTTATCATGTGACAGTAAGGCTAAGCCACATGATGACATGAGATGCATATTCAACGTAGCTATGGGTATGATTGTCCAGTAACATGATACACACAATAGATATGCCTTCTACGGACTTGTTACACGAGTTTCACACAAGAAATTTGTGTTGTATCTTGCCCTTAGGGGCAGAGTCATAAGGGCAGGAAATTTAGTGAAACCCAAAGAATTTGGCTGGCCACGAGGCTATGAGATATTTGAGAAGGATAGAGGATATACTGATGCAAGGACACTCTGTCAGCATGAAGGATAGAAGTGTTTTTGGTATATAGGAGGTGTGGGTGACTATAACAAATACCAGAGCAACTGCGAGGCAATCTACATGAGGATTGTAGTGAGAGACACCCACAGTCTGAGTTAAGAAAGAGGGGAAGGTTTTAACTAGAACTGGGTTCTCTGTAAACTGATCAGCTACATGTCATACGTAATATGGGTGGAGTATACACACAAGCAAGTAGGCACCCAAAAGAAGGCTTTATAGCAACCAACAGATGGCTTTATAACAACGACAGAATGCTTTATAGCATTGGCAGAAGGCTTATAGACCTCAATTACAGGCAAGTCAAGTTACATCTAAAAGGTGTATGCCTGGAACCAAGCCAGGTTGTTGTTAAAGAACCAGGTGTTTGTGTAATGATCTTGGAGTACAACATCCATAAAGCTCCCTCGATTCCTGGTAGGTATGCCACACCTCACATGTTGTTGTGTTTAGTAGGCCAACCAAGCGGTTTGTGTGGAACTAGGAGGCTTACTAAGGCTCTTGAGTCTGTATGAGTGCCTCGGTTCTAAGGCACACCATGTCACTAATGGCATAAAACTTTGTTGCATGTATTTTTCTACGTAGTAATACAAACTTGTTGTATTGTGAATACAGGTCACATCCATCGTCAAAACAGACTGGAGGAGCACGGGGTAAAGATTGCAGTGCAGAAGCTCGAAAGAACGGAGCACTCGGTGTTAAAAAATGTGTAAGCAGTGCTTAGAATGGTTGAATGTTAAGAGGTTTCATGATTTTCCTCCATCTCGCAGAATAACAAATATTCTAGAACATTTCTCTTCCGTGACTCTATGATTTCTCCATGTCTCCTCGTACGTAGCTTCCAATGTGTGCAGTATGTGTATGCAAGATGCATTTATAATGTGTATGTTTTGTGTATGGGCTGTGGAGTGCATCACTGATGCTTTGTACGTAGTCCAAAGTGCGTAATTTCTTCACTTACAAGAGGGAAAATCATTTCAATGGGGATATAGGGACGGCTCAAAGCACCAGAATGGACTAAACAAGGGGTGTGGTTACACAGACAACACATGCAAAGCTATATATTATAATTATGACTCCGTCTCTATAATCTTTCTTTGTGTTTGCTTTGTAGTCAGCACTGAAACAATTTCTAACGTTTGGATAGTCATAATAATTATGTACCTGTCAAAAAAGATGTCAACGTGAAATTTAGCAAGCAAAAAATGAAACACATTGATGCTATATAGAATGGAGATGATAATGATTGTTTACTGGTTTCTGAGAGCTAAGCAGTAGATGAGGTGTTTGGCAGGGCAACATAGCCAGGAAGACCTGAGTTCATCTGACGGGCTGAGCTAGTCTCATGATCAGTGGTAGGTTGAGTGGTTCCTGGAAGCCTTGCTGTGTCATTAGGCAGTGGTTCAGTAGGCATGTGATCATTGCTGTTACAAAGGTCATATTCAGTGAGGTATGTAGAGCTGGGTGTTCCTCGATACTGAGAGCCAGGTTCTGCATAGCTCAAGTACCCGTGAGATGGGTAATTGCCTTCACCCACAAGGTCCTCACTTACGTATTCAGAGCTCGAAATGTCCACACTCGACCCTCCCGTGTAGCCAGTGCTAGATTTGGCCACACTCGATTCCGCCACGTAGCCAGTTGTTGTCGATTCCCCGATGTAGCTGGAAGCCGACTCGATGGTGTACTGCCCCAAATAGCTGGAGCCAGAGTGGCAGGAGTTTACGTAGGGAGGTTCAGGTTCAAAGCTTTCCAGCTGAGAGGCAGAGTCAGAGATGGACATGTTGCTGTGCTGGATACCTGCAGGCTGGCCCACCGTGGCAAAGGCTAGGGTCACAGCGCTTGGAGTTTCAGGAGAAAGGGGGGTAATGCTTTCCGGAATGTTTGTGTAGCCTCCCTCGTAATGGGGGGTCGTATCTGTTTGCCCCTCAGTAATTGCAGAGTCTGGATGTCTGGTGGAGTAGTAGAGTGAACTTACTCTCTGGTATGTCGACGTCAAAGTAAAGCAACTTCCTGTGGATTCCTCGGGGCAAGGCTCATAGCTAGGCTTGTGACTGGAGACTGGATAGACACTGGACGACTGAGTGTCTGTGAATTCGAATCCAATACAGGAATGATCAATGTACACTCCCTTGCCACTCTGTACGCCTGACGAGCTGTCACTCAAATGGAAGGCTATATCTGCATGTTCCTCTCCATTTTTCGAGGGTTCAGTGGCGATCGTACCGGCGTCTGCTTTTTCATGCTGCGTGTACAGTGTGTATGGTAGAGAAGAGCAGCTTCTGTTGGTTGGCTCTGCAGACACAGAATCGGTATCCTTGATGTAGGGTTCAGTAGTTGCCATTATGTTGGTGTGTCCAAGGGGGAGATTCGATACATTGTCTACTGACTGTGACTTGGCCAGTTCCACAACCCCTCCATGCAGTGGTGTGGTGGTCATTGGAGTTGCGACAGAGTCTGCCGTTATTTCGTAGTACTCATTAGTTGTTCGAATTGACAGGGAGATTGATAGTTTCGTGTGTGGATTAAGGTCTATGGGAGCAAAGTTTGGATCCAAAGACTGCAAAATAGCAAAAATAGTTAGGAATATAAATTATACCTATAATAGATCATCATACCTCTTTCCTTGCTTGAATGGTAAAATAACGGTTGAATCTCCGAATCTTGTTGTTTCTGTGAGTGGTTCAATGTATGACTTTGAACAGTACATTTAGAATACAGGTGTTAAACGTTTGTACATGCACAGTGTATATACAAGATTCAAAATTACTTACCTATAGGTCCTGTACTTGTAGAATATGAGCATGAATACAAGAGCAGTGATCAGAAGTGTCAGTATAGGGATTACAATCCCGATGATCTCTGGCAAATGATCTGAGGACAGAGAGATAACACACCCTAGGTAAACTAGTATACCCTCTATGCAAACAGACATTACACGTCATGAATGAGGGAATCATTTCCTGTCATATTCCCAGTAGTACATGAATGACTTCAGGCTTTGTGGGCACAAACTTCCTTCCATTGGACATACTGTAAAGTACTGCTAGTATGAAGGCTACATCATGTAGTAGGCAGCTCACTATAGTAGCATGTGTCTGAGCACCTGTATATGACTGTCCAGACAGCTTACTCTCTGCTGGCAATAATGCTTTGGGTATATATAGTATACTAGGTTATAACAGGATGCAGTCAACACTACTTCCTACAGACCATTATCAGGTTACACACATGCGCCAACTTTTATGCTTGGAGCAACACCCAAGTGCCTTAAATTATAAGAGTACAGTTGTCCCTGCAATCTGTAACCTCTTTTGCTTCACCTTTTGAACATGATGGGAGTGAGGCAGACCAGTTTCCATCATTTCCACAGACGATGCTGTCATCTCCAGTGTAACTCCAGTCACAAGTGACGCTCATGACGGTTCTTACGGGGACGTGGCGTTCTTGTACATTCCAATACTCCCAATTATATGGCCTGTTCACTATTACTTTCCCATTGTCCACTTTTGCATCCAGCTCAGAGCATTCAACTAGGTATAATTATAGAACGCAGTTGGGGCGGTGGTGAATAAAGCCAATAATAATATCATAGCTCACTTATTGAACATAATGGGACTGGGGAAGTCCAGTTTCCGTCAGTTCCACAGGTGATGTTACCACCTCCAGCGTAACCCTCGTCACAAGTGACTGTGACACTGGTGTTGGCTAGGTAGTAGTAGCCTCCATCAACAGGAAGTGGCCGAGTTGTAGCATTTCTTATGTCTGGGTCACGGCATTTTACTGAAAAGGAAGTATGGAGGTGGGAAGTTGTGTGAAAAGTGAAAAGTATAGTATAGCAGGACACTTTAATTGAGAACTGCTGTTTGTCTCACAAATTCTGTAGGCAGGGACCCTATGTGTGGTATTGCATAATGCCTGTGGCTCGCCAAACCGTGAAAAATGCCTCTAAGTCGTCCACTACATGAGACATGTTATACATGTGACATCAGAGCTAAATTCATAAAGATGGATTATCCAGCTCGCAACAATACTCTGATCTTACCACATGGGGTCACCGCCCTAGCAATACTAGAAAGTTCTTGTGGTGCATCACAAGCAATCTCTAGGGACACGAGAGCTTGTTGACGTACTAGAATATTCAGGAAACCTTTTCTCAAGGGGACACCCCCTAATATTAAAAGTAATTCTGTGGATAACTCACGTGGCAAGCACGAGCTCGAAGATAGACTTGGGGTATTCCAGTTTCCATCCTCACCACAGGTAAGGGTGTTCTCTTCAGAGAGGTAGTACCCATCATAGCAAGTGACTGTGATGGTTGTATTAACAATGCGAGTCTCATCGCTTATCTTCGCTATACCATCATCGACGATCATATTCAATTCACCACATTGTCCTGTAGTGGAAGTTACAAACATAATCAGTAGTTCATGTTATCCGTGCTTTAGTAACCAAACATGTGTTATGCTGCGAAAGAGATTATCTCACCAGACCAGTAGCTTTACCCATGCCTTAGTCTAATTTGTGAAGTGGCTTATCTGCTTCACAGATAGTGCCTACGTACTTTCGCAGGTTGGTAGACTTGTAGTATTCCATGTTCCGTCACTCTGGCATTCACTAACACCTCCATAGGTAGCCGCAAACCCCTCGTCACATGTCACGTTGGCAACTGTGCCCTCGATGAAGAACTGCGTGCGATCTTGTGGAATCGCAAACCCAATACTTCCATTCCCAACACTGTGTTCAGTATCACACGCTGCCACTGGAAAGGAGCATAATTACACAGTAATCATATTCCTCTTAGTACCACTAACTAGAGAAAACCCGTAATAGAATGAGAGACACTTACTGATGGTAACATTGTGCGGTTCAAAAATGGCGCCTCTTACTTCCTTTTCGCATGACTTATCATATAGTTTTTCCTCCTTATACACAAAGCACCCAAAGAAGCTACACTGGTCTCCAACAGATACGCGTGAACCCTCCGACTCAGAATCAGGGTTCACGGGGTTCACAATGTGCACATAATCATCAGCTTTGAAACCATCAGGAAGCTGGAAAAGAGGGGAGACGAATATTATAATGCATGCTACTGTTACCCGACCAGCAAGATTTCAAGAAGTATAATAATATAACTGTATACTCCCTTTCACATGAATTGCTCAATCTAGATCATGATATGTGCTTCTTTCACAACTCGATTTGTCCCTTTCATTATTTTAATGAGTGAACAAAGACTGAGCATGGCATACCCGTGATGAAGATATATAGCATAGGTATCCAGGTTGCTGGTACAGTCTTTATAACCGACGACATAGCCTGACCAACCACTATTATCTAATCTGTCATAGTCAATTCTACTCTTGTTGACTGTTAGGGTAATGGATGGTTGGATAAGTTGAGTGTAATCAATTGAGGAGTTGAAGAAGATATTTCCCTGCGGGCTTCTGCAGTGCAATAATACAGATATCTATCATTAAAAAACAAGCGGAAAACCCAGCAAGAGAAATAATATTAATGTAGTCTTACGTAAGCCACCATGTTTATTGTGCCATTCAGAAAACTTTGTGGCTTATGGTTGACAGTTTAAATTTGCTATAATACAAAACACCTCAATTTTAATTAGCTAACCCAGATCTTCAGTTCTGATCCGTCAGCTTGGTCGCGTACTAGCTATATAGCATGGCCAGTAAAGTAGCTATTAGCTATGCCAACATGCCAACGATACGCATACACGAGCTGCATACCTGCATCTGGACAGGGCGGCGAAGGAATCTCATCTGAAAAAGAACGTTGATAACAAAACCGGCGCTAAGAGTTCAACGTGTAGCTTACGCACCTTCCAGTATATCTTCGCAAGTCCTGTTTGTGTTTTCGCTGCTGCAAAATAATGTAGGCATCACAACACGCGCACCTGCCTTTGAAAGTGCCAGGGCGCAGAAGAGCGAGAAAGTCCAAAACTCTGCGAAAAGCATGGCCAGCAATATCAGATGTGACTCGACAGCCCCAAGAGCGATCTTATTATCCGACGGAAGTCATTATGGCCCGGCAAGACGTGTGCGCATGCCCCCGCTCGTGCAAATGCGCATGCGCATATAGCTACTTTTTGCGCGCAAGGCCGCCTTCCTCATTAGCGCGGAAGCGCGCGCATTATCACGTGGAATTTTGCGTCCATACAGTCTTCACTCGGTTCCCCAATTATCATTTCCATTTTTCACCCCTCTGAGAATATTATTATGGTCCTATGGCAAAAGTTTACAATCACAGAAGCATTAGCAACTATTAGCATCAATGAGTCTTTGTTGAAGAGGAAGAGCTCACCCAGCATGCACACCTCACTTGGGTGACTGAAACAGCTCCACGATGGCGTGAAGATATTAAGTGATCCCTCGTGTGCTCTATCGGCTAAGGAAACTAAAGGAACACACTTAGTGTTCCTTTAGGCTCTCAATGAAAACTCTGTCTAGTTTCCTTACACTTTAATTGTTTTATAGCTTAGCTGTAGCCTGTCTAGCTAGCTGCTGGCCCAGACCAACAACACACACCTTCCCAATTATTCTCCAAATCTTCCTTTTCCCTTGCCCTTTCTCTGTTGTAAAGTTGAAATAAGAGCCGATAGAGCACAGAGGGATCACTTAATATCTTCACGCCATTGTGGAGCTGTTTCAGTCACCCAAGTGAGGTATAGATTCTTTACATTCCCATAGTGAGCAACTGCTGTTAAGGCATACAACCATTGGCATCAGTTGATCGCACATGTAGCATGTGGCAATACAAATATACCGTGTCGAATTCCAGGAAAGTCAATGCAGCAACTAATGTATAAGTGTGCCAGAATAACTCTAACCGCTTGTCTAAGTGTGGTTTTGTATAATTATACCTGAGTTGATACATGATTTCCTGATTCATAATTGAAGGGAAGGGCCAAGGAAGGGGACAGTTTGGCCATTTTGTTCCATCTTTGTAGAGCCACGCTGAATTCCCTTTTACAAAGGGCTCGCCTGGGTGGGACTCGAACCCACGAAACTCAGAGATACCAGGGCAGCTTCACAGGCAAAGCCCACAAGCTTGCAATACCAATAGAACACAAGGCAAATTAAGGCCAACCAACCCCCATACTCTGTGCCATGTCACAGAAAACCTGTCACGACTGAATCTGAGGGCTATTCCTAACCCTCCGGACGACATACGTATCTCCTTTAATATTATGCAGTATCACATAAAAGTTTTTTAATGGAGAGTCAAAACATAATACATGGCAAAAAGTAAGACCTAAGAAACCTAGCTCGTACAGTACCGTAATATGTGACGTAAGCAACTGTTGTGCGCAACTGGAAACCTCTGCTAATTACATCATATATAATGTTGCCAAGAATCATCTATTTTCTTATAATGATGTGATTGCTATAACTGTGTATTTGCATCAACAGTCGCCATCCCCAATGGAAGGAACTACTGCGATATAGGGAGAACTCTACAGCACTCAGTGGAATGCAGCTAACAAGTGAACCACTTGACCTTGCACGGTGTGTGCCTTACTGATGAAGAGAAAATCCCCTCATCCATAGACCTAAATCCAGGGAACAGCTAACACCCCCCAGCCCCTATTAATCATTAATATCCTGACATTATTGTAGTGGGCATTCATTTTGTCTCACTCACCCCTGGTAACAGACTCATTATTCCAATTAGAATGGAATGTGGATGTGTGTAGTGCAGAAACCAGAAAGGCAAAGGAAAGTAGGAAGTTAGCTTGTAACCAAATCCAAGGAACTGAGGGGGGATATTTATCCAGCTGTGTATACTCTTATGCAAGCTGGAGTCATAATTATTATCATATATGAACGTGGATGATTGAGGGCTAGCTATCTGGGGAGATGGAAAAATATCTTTATGTCTAGGTGTAGCTACTTAAGACTACTAGACAAAAAGCTAGTTTCCCTCTCCAGCAAGTTGCTACGTGCTGAAAATAGCTAGCTGAATAACCTCAAGAAATGACATAATCTCCAATGGTGTTATTGACTAGCTACTTGCCTCTCAGATAGAGCTTGCTTTGGCATTCTAGCTTGGGTGACAAGTAGCTAAAAAGTCATACATATTATGTAAATAAAGAACCGCTGATGGGTGTAATTTGAATGGGGCATATTATTTTGACCTGTCCACTTTCACATGCGCACTAATACAGAGAGTTGACTACCGAGCCAATTCTCAATCCCCAAACCTGAATGTGGTTTTGAACATGTACAAAGAGAACATTTGACATTGTAGCCTTTTTCGGCCTTCTAAAACATTATCATCACAGAAAAATGTACGTTGCTAGGATGTTGACGAGGTATACAATAGTTAATTTGAAATGTACTATTTATCATTTAGTGCTTCAACTGAACCACCTGGTATGACTTCCTTGGTTCATAATAACTATATTACATCCCTTGTTGTCAAGGGTTACAACAATAAAACGATATGTATGCTATAGTACACACACCATTTCCTCCTCTTGTTGCAAATAAAATATAATTATACTGCACGTATGAGGACTAGAAGTTGGAGTTAAGATTGTTAATTATGATCAGCACCCAATGCACTAGATCTCAAGTTTTAGGGAGGGACTCTGTTTACACTAAAACACTTTACACCTTCTAATGGAAACCCCATCTTCCCTGTACAACAACAACAACAACAACAGATCAGCTGATCAGCTACTTAATCATCAGAATGTGACAGTAAGCAGTGGGTGGGGGTTAGCTACCTTTTGGGAGGTGCTGTTGAGACAGAGGTATATTATACCAACCAGGGGTCTGTAGTGCACTGTGGAGCGCAGTGAGAATTAGCCAAAAGCAAGCAGTCGCCACTTCTTCGTCAGTGGCTGGCCGAAATGAATGCCCACGCATTTTTGTCGCGCCGGGCCGTCTGGCGCGGGTTCTCGCACTGGAATGGCCAGGGGTATGTTGGAATGTAAACCGTGCCTCCGCCAGCACATTCCCGCCATGGGCAGATGGTGTGTCCCTGCGTGTGGTGTATATAGTACCGTATACCGTGTAAACAAAGAGGCGCGGAGCTCCGCGACGGCAACCTGATCGAGTGGCTGGCGTGCAGCTGCCGAGTCATCTAGCGGCAGTTGTACATAGATAAGTGTACCTCGTGGAAGCCGAAGATCCAGGCAGCGTCCAACTATCGTGCAGCATAGTGCAGCACAGTGCAGTGCAAACTGGTGCATACTCGCGTGTAAACAAAAGGCCGCATGGCCAGCCCCTGAATTTTCTGTAGATAAAGCCAAAGGGCCTGCGCAGTATATACATGTGCTTGTATCCTAGCTACTGTATTGGTAGCCGGAGATATCCCTTCACTAAACACTCGACGCATCTTACCAGCGATCACACTGTGTGCTGTTATCAGTTGCCGCTGGTGCCTCCCGCCAGTCAATTCGTCACGAGTTTTTATTATTATAGATCTGATAATAATACAATGGTCAGAAAGATGGAGGTGAATTTGAATAATATGATACTAATAAGCGACAAGTTGCAGTGAGCCGTGATCTTTTGGAGAGTGATTTATGTTAGTAGTTTGACCTGTAGTAAGTTTCACAGTCCCCAAGTGTTCCATCTGTATTTGATTGCTGCAAATGAGAAGGAAAATATATACTAAGCATGGCTCATACTTACTTAGAATTTAGAATAACGTAAACATTACGGCATGTTGGTCCGTTCACTGTTACACGATACATATGGAAAAATTGCGCATTCAGATGCCTAGCTGGGTTGGCTCACTTCGCTCGCCAATTACATACCTTGTTCATAATGATATGTATGTCCTCCAGTCGTGTTGAAAATTCCAAGAAATATCTTTCCTTCTCATCGCCAAGTTTACTCTAAGAGAGAGAAAAGTTAATGGTTATGCGAGATACAAGGCTATAGGGTTTTATAGATAGATGACAGACCATACCATGTCAATTCTTAATAGTTAGACTTACCAAGTTCTCGGAGAGCTTCATTAGAGCAGTTAAGCGACAGACGAAGCTGTCTTGTGTTGTGCTTGAGGGTCGACTTGATACTTCAGGGAGATTGTAATGCATCTCAAACTCTGTCTGGAAATCGTCGAATAGCTGGGTGTTTGCATCTTCTTGTCTTCTCTCCATGTGTCGAGTTGGCATTGCTGCAGCTCCTATGCAGAAGACTGCTAGAGTGCTGATGAGGATGTACTTTGCCATTTTGTGCTGCAAGTGATTGTAATATGCTTTCTAGATCTCTTCTGACTTGGTAGACATGCTTCTGTGAGGAGAAGAAAAGCTTTTATACCGTTTATAACTAGGGGCTTTCCTAATTTCTGGTGGGGGGTGACTAGCCGAGTAGTTCGGCTTCATTGTATGCGCGGGACGACTATAAAGGCCACGCAATGGGTGGTGGAAATCGAGAAGCAAAAACCCGCAGGATTACGAGCTAATAGAGTGCAACCAACATACCGAGAAGAAAACAAAACCATTGACAATGACGACCACTCACCTGACAACGCCGATTTTCGCCATCCTTACGTTTACTCTCTGCGTGTGCCGTGCACAGGCGACGCTGGATCTCAAAGACAACGATGTAGTCTGCTCGAGTGCTATTCACCTGATAAATAACCTGCGTCTCTACGAATGGATAAAGAACAAAGCAGAGAATATCACAAACACTGAATGGAATCTCAATGGTAATGAATCTCAGTATTTACCGATGGTGTGTCAGGCTGCGGCCGTCTACGCCTTAGGAAGCAACTCTGCAGACCTGCACGACTTGGAAGACAGCGCTGCCGGACGGGTGGTGGGAAAGGCGTGCAAATGGCTGTATAAAACAACTGAACCGAACATTCCGAAATGTAAAGAACACGTCTACTACTACTGCTTTCACAACAATATTGAGAGTTGGGTGCGATTCAGAAACGATTTTAATCCCATCTTCAACTGTAACTCGTAGTTAAAGCCGTTGTTTGAGGCAATGTGGTTGTAGATCATTTCTCATTTGCTAATGTGTAAGCATGTATTTGTGGCGAATAAACATCGTATCTTGCTACGAACACTTTGAGTCTTGAACGTTTGCGATTAAAATTAATTGAGAGCTGTTGTTCAGGTACGGCTCGGACTCACGATGGAAAGCTTATGTTCTTGCAGGAAACTGCATGACTTATTCCGCAATCAAGATTAATGGTGTCCAGAGTGGATGACTTGCCACTTTATTCAGTGGATGAGATAGTCGCAAAGACACACATGAGTGTAGTTGACTTGTTTCCTTTGCCTTTGCCTTTCTATAATACCTAACACATGCATGCAACGCTATTATTTTGGTGCAAAGAGATTTGGGTTATAACAGCAGTTAGGTTTGAGTGCAGAAGCAAAAAAATTATAGCTACCCCTTGACACATTATAGCTACCTGCTCAGTGATGCCCATTATGACTTTGGGGCAAATGAACCAGACATTGATTGAGCCACATGTATATACAGAGTGAGCGGGAAGAGGGAAGGAATAATACATATAAAAATTGCAGTGCACTACATAATACAGAAAAATGGGCAAGAGTCACTCTGTGTGGCAAAAAATGGTCAGTATAGCTAAAGAGCTGAGCCAGTTATTGATTGTAGCTATCTACATCTCTGGTGTAGACAGTCTTCTGTCCCATGTCTGTATAGAGAGGTCCTGTCCCACTGTAGAATCACACTGTAGATTCCCCTCATTATAAATCCCCAATTAAAGCTAACTTCCTATAATATTTCCAACAATACCAAACCGAGGAAGCCATGTCTCCCAGATTACGTACATCCACATTCCATTCTAATGAGTGCCCGTTACCAGGATATCAGTGGATAATGCGAGGCGAATGTCAACTACAATTAATAGAGTGGTGTTTAATTGTGAGGTTTTCTCTATAAAGTTCATCTGTGGTGACCAGTAGCTACTAGGGGATTTCCTATTAAAAACACACAAGACACAGTTAGACGTTATTAGCTCAACTTACATACACCCCCAAGGAGACCTGCTCAAATACATTGCATCATTGGGAGTTATGAAGGCATTCTGAAAACACACACCAGATGTGGACTAAAGAGGTGCACTCGGGCCAATCGGGAACACCAGGCACGAAGGTACCTACACCTACCAGATATAATTAAGAAGGTGTGAGATGAACCCGTATTCTATAGCTTTAGTTTAACATGCTTGTGGTATATATTCACATGAAAGGAACATCTAGCACCCAAACCCCTGCCTATAGTGTATTGTTGCTTGTGCTTAGATCACCTCGTTGTGTGCCTGCAGCTATAAGTTGCAAGGACAATAGATTCTGTCTTGTGTTATTGTCACTGCTCCATGTAGTGCTTAAAAATTGATCCCAGGCCGTTTTTGTGGGCCGGGGAGGCCTGGGAAACGGTTCCCTCGTCCACTGGCTGTAGGCCTGCAATAAGACCTCGAAATAAGTGCTGGACTGCAGCGAAGCACAGACCTCTGATGTCAAAAAACGCGTGCTATTATATAATATACGACGCGGACAACCGCTCGCCTGGAGTCTGCGTTAGCATTTTGAAAAATTTGTATATATACAGTACACTTAGTAAATTAGTGACAGCTAGTTAACACAGAAGACTGAAGTAAAATTGTTTTTGAATCGCCGCCAGTTCTCAGTTAATAAAGTTCCAAAGCAGAAGCTGTAGAGTTCTTTTTTACACTGCGGAATCATCTCCGCCGGGTCGGTTGAGTTGTAGTACAGCCAATCACACGCCATTCTCACCAACTGCCCTGCAGTGCTGTCTCCTAAGTCGTGCTGGTCTACTGCAGAATTGGTTCCCAGTGCGTAGATGGCCACAGCTCGACACACCTTCGGCAAATACTGAGATTCGGTATCATTCAGTTTCCATTTACTCACTGCTATATTATTTGTCTTGTCCGCTATCGTTTGGGTGATAATAAGGTTATTAAGCAGGGGACGAGCACTCGAGCAGACTACATTGTCTCTGAGATCCAGTGCACGGCACACACAGAGAGTAAACGTGGCGATGGCGAAAATAGAGGTTAGCCGGTGAGTGGTCGTCATTTTTCCAGTCGTTCTTTTCTTATCAGTTTGAGCTCAGTCTGGCGGGGTTCTGCCACTATCTTTATTGCACCCCACTGCAATGCGCGGTCCATTTATACTGGCGTCTGCCGAAGCAGGAAGTATCGTAGCCTGCTGACGAGCGGGTTGGTATATAGGGAAAGCCCCGCGGAAAAAGCGGTTAGGTATAAAAAGCTTTCAGCCATTCACAGAAGCATGTCCAGAAGAGATATAGAGATATTATAAAATCACCACAGCAGTAAAGTCTACAATAGTATCAAAATGGCACAGTACATCCTCATCAGCACTCTAGCAGTCCTCTGCTATTCAGTTGCAGCAATGCCAACTCGACACATGGAGACAAGAGAGGTTGAGCCAAACACTCAGCGTCCAGCATTTCCTGATGCTTTCGATGCCATGTTCAAGAGTGAAACTGGAGCATCGAATGAAGAAAAAGCACTGTATTTCTGTCGCTTGGCTGCACTAATGAAGGTTTCCGAGTACTTGAATGGACTAGGAGATGAGGATGAAAGATATTTCTTGGAGTTTTCAACACGACTGGAGGACATACATATAGTTTCCGTCAGAAAGAACTCAACTATTGCTAGATTACACGAACAGTGTGAAGATTACTACACGTCAAAATACCTTCTTACTATATCATGATTGACTGCAACTTGTCACTTATTTCTCATTCACTTCCAATATTCCGATCACCACATATATACTAGGTATTTATATGAAATTTTATGGTTTTATTTATAAAAACTCGTATTTGAAATCTACTACTGGCTCAAACACCGTAGGGGGGACTGCTATAGCGCGCCGCACGCGGGCGCGCGCGGGACGATACGCCCCCATATCAGCTCAGCTAACTATATGTGCGGGGCCGTTCTAGTCTGGTGCCGTTCTAGTCTGGTGCCCAGACCCTCACGTGCTTCCGAGTGAAAGAGGGCCGGTGGTCGGTATAATACTTGGTTGTGCGGTTAGGAAGACCGGTAACCCAATCAGATTGGCGGATTACTATTATGTGTGATCGATCTGTAATGCCGACGGTTCTGCGCATGCGCATCGCGTTCCACTGTGTTGTCGAGTATAGCCATATGACGGACTGTTTGCTTTGATGTAACTCTGCAGTGTATCTCTTGCTACTTGCACCACACTCACACTAAACTCCAACTAGAACAATATCCCATACGTATATTTTACCATTACATATTGCGTCACTGACTACGTGTTGGCTAATGGAACACAAACCCATAAACTAACTACCTCCGTGCCAAAGCTGCAATGTTGGTGAGGACGAAAACCTTTTCTGTGTGTCCAAGAAAGAGACTTGCAACTTGGCACTTTTACATGACATGATTTTTTAATGCTAGTCCTTTCTCTTTCAAGGTAGGTCAGCTTGAAATCCCC